CACTTAGCCCAACACACACATGCTGGGGACACACCTACTCAGACAGGCTGGCAGAAGCACCCCCACAGTTGGAGGCGCTGGCGTGGACCCATGTTCCAGGCTACTCCCAAGAAGAGGGCTCCCCTACACTACTCCTGGAGCCTATTCTCTCCTCTAACCACCTCAAGGCTCCCAAGTGTCCTTCAGGCCACCTGTATGGAGAGGAAGTGACTGGTTCAGAAGCTCACAGGAAGTTTGTTTGGCAGTGATTGGAAGCTAAACCTCTGCTTTTAGACTAGTGTTCACTCCCCAGTAACATGACGTGTGCACATGGGCAGGAGCTGGATTGCCCAGACTATGGGCTTGGTAGGGCTGTCTGGGTGAGGGGAGGCTCAGTTTGTCCTGCGGTTGGAAGCCATGATAGTGTATTCTCTGTTAGTCAAGGAATAAGCTGAAGAGTGAGTCCTCTATGCTGGGGCCTCAGTTTCCCCATATGCTGTGTGTGGATTTATCCTGTGGAAACAGGCCAAAGCATGTGGTTGGGGGAGGGAGAGTTCCTAGGGCTGCTCCTTCCCATCCCCTCCAGGGCTGTCCTTCTGCCCAGGGTCCGAGCAGGATAGCCCCTTAACAATAATAAAGGTGATAATGGCAGCTACCCTTTATTGTGCGTCAACCTGTGCCAGGGTGCCCTGTGCGAACTGCTTGTGCCCACGTGTCGCTACGTTCGTTCCTCCCTGTGGATACTTGCCCAGAGTCATGCAGCTAAAGTGGTGGAGCTGGGCCTTGGTCTCTATTCCAGAGTTTGTATTCTTGGTCATTATACCCTGCTGCCCCTTCCCCTTTGTTCTGTCTCCTTTCCCAAGTTGGGAGGGAGGGCTCTGACATTGGGGTACATGGTGTACCCTCCCCCAGGACTGACCCACAGTCCCCCGATTTGTTCCTCCCTCCCAGGCCTTGTACAGCTCCATCAAGAATGAAAAGTTGCAGTGGGCCATGTGAGTCCTGGGGCTGAGTGGTGGGTTAGGGGTGGGGCTTGGGGAAGGGGCTGCCTGGGGTGGCCAGGAGAACTGGGTGGACCCTGTGAGTCCTGGGGCTGTGGGGCAGGGGAGGGGTGAGAGTGCATGAGAGACAGTGGGGCTGCCTCACTTCCTTCTTTGGAGATGCCTGCCTGTACCTGGGGCTCTGCGTCTTGTCTCTGGCTGGGTTGTTATGACAAGCGGGGGTTATGTGTGTGCTGAAACATAAAAAGGAGGTCCCCTGGCAACCCTAGTGGGAAATTAGAAGCCTCTGGAAGTAGGTCCCTGACCAGTAGCACCAGTGGCCCTACTTAGGTCCTAGGAAGCCCAGATGTCACAGAACAAGGAACCATATTTATTCTTGGCAGCCCCCAGTAGAAACAGCGAGTCTCAAAGTGTTAGAGAGTCCAGTTTGAGAGAGGAGGTCCACTTTTGGCCTTGGGGCTCCTAGTCTGAGGGTGCAGCACTCATCGTAACAGCCAGTAGATTGCTGTGTTTGCTGGTATCTGCTGAGAGCCTCTGTGCAGTTTAGCTAGGAGCTCCCGTTAGGGGAGAAGACCTCGCAGGAGGCAGAGCTCAGGATTAGGGTGCAGGGGGAGATCAGGGAAGGCTTTTAGGAGGGTTGGAACTGGCACAAGTCTCAAAGGAGGCGAAACATTTGGGAAAGGAAAAGGGGAAGTTGGTATTTGGGAGGCAAAGGCGTGGCTGATGTGTGAGTGGGAGACCATGAGGGGGCAGGCCTGGCTGGAATGGAGCGTGGAAGAGGATGATGTTGGGAGAGATGCAGTGTAGGCTCCAGATGGGAGGCAGTAGGGAGCTACTGCAGGTTCTTGAGCAAGGGAATGGCAAGATAGAATCCAATTTTTATTGGTCTGACAGAGCCTGCAGACCAGGATGTATGGGGGTAGGGGGACACTGGAAGCCACTTCTTCCTCCTCCTGCCACCATTTAGCCAACACGCTATGAGCAAAGCCTAGTGCTGGATGTGGTTGAGACAGCATTGAGTCAGACATGTGTCTGTCCTGGTGGAGATGGGTGTGAGGGTTGGAGTGTGTGCAGAAATGGAGAGGACAGGCCTAGTGACACGTGAGGGGAGGAAGAGACAGTTGTGGCTTTATGCTGCGGAGCTCTAACCTAAGGAGGAGACAGATTGCCTCTAGGTGCCTTGCTCTGAGGGGGAGAGGCACAGCTACACCCTGGGGAGATCCGGTCTGAGGTGGGAGACATGACAGCATCCCCAGGGTGATGGGACGCCCTCCCCCACATCTCCACAAACACTGAAGGGGCTTTCAGGGTGGGCAGAAGCCAGGACTGAAGAGGGGGTGATGGCTCCATGGCCAGCCCCACCTGAGGTGATTACATCTGCAGAGACGAGGAGGAGCTGAGACGCTCTCTGTCTGAGTTGGCTGACCCGAACCCTAAGGTCATCAAGCGGGTCAGCGGGGGCAGTGGCAGCGGCTCCAGCCCTTTCCTGGACCTGACTCCCGAGCCTGGGGCCGCCGTCTACAAGCACGGGGCCCTGGTGCGAAAGGTGCACGCAGACCCCGACTGCAGGAAGAGTACGTGGCCAGGTGGAAGGGGCTGGGGGATGGATGGGAGTGGGCCTGTCCCTGCCCCCGCTGACCTGTCTTCCTTCCCCCAGCACCTCGGGGCAAGCGGGGCTGGAAGAGCTTCCACGGAATCCTCAAGGGCATGATCCTCTACCTGCAGAAGGTGCGGGGCCAGGCTGAAGGGTTGGGGCTGGGCTGGCTGAGGGGGGCATAGGTGGGCCCAGCTGGGACTGGGGCCAGGACAAGATGGGTACCCCTGCAGGAGGAGTACCAGCCCGGGAAGGCCCTTTCGGAGGCGGAGCTCAAGAATGCCATCAGCATCCACCATGCCCTGGCCACCCGAGCCAGCGACTACAGCAAGAGGCCCCACGTCTTCTACCTGCGCACAGCTGACTGGCGGGTCTTCCTTTTCCAGGCCCCGTGAGTGCCTTCCTCCTGCCCATCCCGGACCCCTTCACTCCAGCTTCCATCTTGCTCCCCTCCCTTGTCCCTGGATTGCTTCATTCTTCTTTAGGCCCAGAACTCTGGGCCCAGGTCCCAAGGGGCTGTGCTGTCTCCCCAGGAGCCTGGAACAGATGCAGTCCTGGATCACTCGCATCAATGTGGTGGCTGCCATGTTCTCTGCACCCCCATTCCCAGCTGCTGTTAGTTCCCAGAAGAAGTTCAGCCGCCCTCTCCTGCCCAGCGCTGCCACCCGCCTCTCCCAGGTAGCCCCAGCTCAGTCTGCCTGGTGCCAGTGGGATGGAGGGGGCAGGCCCAAGCCATCTGCACTCAGAGATGCTGTGTATGATCATGTAGCTGTCCCCTGCACCAGGACACTGGCCATAGGGGGCGAGTGCAGCCTGAAAGCCAGCCCCCAGCCCCCTTGCTACCTGGTAACCCAGACATGGTGCTTTGTTCATCCAAAGGAAGGGGTGTCTTTTTAAAAATTTGTACAAAGGCACTGTATAAGCTGGAGTGACCCTGACCATGCTCCCCTTGGCTGCCAGGAGGAGCAGGTGCGGACCCACGAGGCCAAGCTGAAGGCCATGGCAAGCGAGCTGCGGGAGCACCGGGCTGCCCACCTGAGCAGGAAGGCCCGGGGCAAGGAGGCTGACGAGCAGCGGCAAAAGGAGGCCTACCTGGAGTTTGAGGTGAGCCTCCCTGCCTGGGCACCTCTTTGTCACCACACAGAGGCTCAGACTAGGGTGAAGGGCATGGACTCTTAAGAGTAGGACCAGCTGGATGACGTTGGACAGGCTGTTAACTCTGAGCCTCAGTTTCCTCTTCTGTGGAACAAAGACAACATTCCACACCCACTAGGATCATGAAGTGACATGTCTGTAAAGTGCTGGTAAAGCATCAAGAAACTTTAGCTGTTGCAGTTAGTAGTCCCGAGAGAGCCCAGAGAGGGTCCCCAACCTGCCAGGGGGCCATGTCACAGTCCTTGGGAGCTTTTGGGGCTTCAGAGGTGGGCAGGACCCTGCCGTCTCCTATCCCTCTCTGGTGGCCCTCCCTGTCCAGTGGGGTGGGATGGGCAGAGCAGGCTGAGCAGGCTCTCACAGCCCTGCCCCTCTTCAGAAATCCCGCTATGGCACGTACGCGGCGCTGCTGCGGGTCAAGCTGAAGGCGGGCAGTGAAGAGCTGGATGCCGTAGAGGCAGCACTGGCCCAGGCCGGGAGCGTGGAGGATGGACTTCCCCCGTCTCACTCCAGTCCCTCCCTGCAGCCCAACCACTCCAGCCAGCCCCGGGCTCGTCGTGGGTCAGAGTCTCGGGCGGGCACAGGCAGCGGGCGAAGGAAGCCCTGAGGTGGGGGTGAGGGCAGCGGTGCCTGGTGGGCACCAGCAGGATGACATGGCCCTGCCTGAGCCCAGGCCGGCCTCGGGCCACCCATGAGGGCCTTGTGGCCCAGGGCCCGACCGCGCCGGACGCGGTGTCCGGGGCAGGGCTGAGGCATGGGCCTCAGGAGCCTACACTGAGGGCCCGTCGGAGACCCCCTTTTTGTGATAATGTTTTGCACTTTTCGTACTGGGGGGGCGGGGGTGGGGGCAGGAGGGGCCAGTGCCCCTGAACTTTTGATGCTTTTTTTTTGCGTGGGGGAGGCCTGACAACGTTTCCGCTTTCTGCTGAGACCACCCTCACCCTGACACCAGCAATCCCCCTCCGTCCTGGGGCCTGGCTCAGACAGAGGCCAGGAGTTGGGGCTGAGCTGGTTTTCCCTCCTTCCTCCCCAAGGGCTCACCCTCTCTCTTTCCAGAGGTGGAGGAAGGGCGTCCATGTCAAGGCCCGGTACGTGGGCCAGGGACAGTGCGGCCTTGCCTTCCCTCCTCAGTGGGCCCTGCCCTCTGTACAGCCTCCACCCCATTAAAACTGCTCTGGACTTGCCGACTGGGCCTCCTCCTTCTCTGGTCTCCAGTGCCTGGCTTGGGGCCAGGGTGGGTGGCTGGTTCCGGGGACAAGAGTCACATCGGGATTACCATAAGTTGGGAAGGGGACCCTCCCCTTCCCTTGAGAATCCTTTATTTGCCTGAACTGAGGGGTGGGCATGGGGAGTTAAATAAGATTTGGAAGAGGTGGGGGTGCTGTACAGAGGGTCCAGAAGGGGGCTGGTGCATGGGCGACACTTCAGTGCACCTGAGGCTGGGGGTGCCCATGGCAGAGCCCTCCTGGTGGCTCAGGGAGTGGGCCCAGCTTCTCTGCCTCCTGTTCCACCGACTGGCTCCCATAAGCACTGTCTTCCTTCACCTCTGTGGGGGCAGGAGGGCACAGGGGAAAGGAAAAGGGGGTCGTCAAGGCCTCAGGCCTCCCAGCCTCCAGCCCAGATCTACCCTCCAGGTAGCCTCCTTACCTGTGCTGGGCAGCTTATCCCGGGTCTCGGGGCCCCTCAGCAGCCTTACTCCCTCCTCTAGGCCCATGTCGGACAGAGCGTCCAGCAGACCCCCCAGGTCCCCACCAGCCAGCTGAGGAGAAGAAAGAGGTTGAGTGAACTAGGGTGTGGGGTCAGGAGCCCTGTGGCCAAGGGCGCATGAGGCTGTGAGACTGGGGAGGAGAAGACTGGGGAGGAGAAGGAAGGGGCTGGGGCAGGGTGCAGGCCGACCCACCTCGTAACTGCGCAGGAGACTGCCGCTGGGCGAGGCCGTCTTTCGGTACGTGTCCACCAGACTGCGCAGCCCCAGCCGCTCTGCCAGCTCTGCCCAGCTGCCCTGTGCTTCTGGCCCATCTAGCAGCTGCTCCAGGTTCTGCAGGGCTGTATCACCAAGTGACAGCCCTGGCCCTGAGAGGACATAAATATAGACATGTCAGTTACCTCCAGAGTTGGGTGGAGACAGGGCCACCTGGACACCACCTTTCTCCCAAGATGATCTGACAGTGAAGTCAGACAGGGCCACTGGGGGCTGAGGACAGGGTGGACAAAAGGAGACATTCTACAGGGTCCTGAAGGAGGAGATACCTGGGTGAGGAGGGGGCTGGGGCCCAGGAGTACATGATGACATCTCACCTGCCGGGCTAGGCGGCGTCAGAGGAGGTGCCAGGGTGTTCTGCGTGGCATTGAGCAGCAAGGTCTTCACCTGGGGAGATGGCCTCACCTTTACTACCTCCTACCCCGTCCCCAAGCCCAGGTATCCTTAAGTCCACATACTCAGGACCCTACCCCCACGTCCCGGAGGTGCCCTGTTCCTTGCTGCTGCTAGTCCCAGGATGGCCTCACCTTGGTGCTGCGAGTGAGGTCAAGAGGCGTGTGGCCCCGGAAGCTGCTTTGAGGGTCCCTCTCAGGCCCCTCATAGTCCGAGTCGCTATCAGAGGTAGGGGGCGAGGGTAAGGGACACAGGGGCTCCTCGTTCTCTGCATAGATGTCAGCACCTTTGGGAGGGAGAGTCATTGGGAGGTGCAATGGGGCCCACATTAAGGAATGCAAAATAGGGGATCTGAGAGGCACCTCTTTCCCTCCCCCAACCCTGTTCAAATGTCCCTAAGGGTGAGACTGACCAGCCTTTAGAAGGAGGCGGGTGAGGGTAGGGGATCCCAGCCCGGCTGCCAGGTGTAGGGGTGTGTTTCCCGAAAAGGTACGAGCGTTCACATTGGCTTGGAGCTGTGGGGTGCAAGGGAGTAGTTGACCACAGTATCGTCCAGCTGGCCACCCCCTCCCACGCACCTCTTCACCATCCTTAGTCCCTCCACAGCCCTTGGCCCCACCCTTTCCACAATCCTCAGTCCCACCTTGGTGACCAGATGGGTGACCAGCCCCAGCTCCTCCATCTCTGTGGCTAGATGCAAGGCTGTTCGGCCCCCCTGTCGCTCTGCCACCTCCACTTCAGCCCCACTGTCCACCAGCAGATCCAGGCACTCAGGGCTTCGAGCACGGACTGCCAGGTGTATTGGGTACAGCCCTAGGGATGCAGCACACTCAGCCTGCAGCCTGCAGGGCTCCAGACCAGCCCTGACCAGTCAGCCTCAACACCACATGTCCACTCTTGGCACTCACCAGATACCGTCCCTGGTCCCCACCCCTGCCCACTTAGTCCGGATGAGATGGAGAACTCACCTTCAAAGTCAGGCATGTGTAACAGCTGTAACAGCTGGGGTGCGGTGGGGGCTCCACTCCGCAGCAGAGCGCGCAGCAGGTTGGGGGCATCGGCACCTGCCCGCAGTGCTAGGTGCACAGCTGAGTCTCCATGCCGATCCAGCAGAGCTGGGTCTGCACCCACCTGCAGCAGGAAGCTCACCACCCTCGTCTGCCCTGTGATCACTGCCAGGTGCAGGGGTGTCTGGGGACAAAGCAGAGTGAGCCAGGCCTGCCGCTGGCTTAGACCCACCAGCCTCCCAACCCCTACCCCTCACTAGTGGGTAGCCCCCAACCTGATGCAGATGGTTGGTGAGGTTGACAATGCCGAGGTGCTGGGCATGGTAGATGACATGGACTATCTGCTCAATGACACTGGTCTGCCCATGAATGATGGCCAGGTGCAGCGGCCTATGGGGTGGGGAAGGAGTCTGATCTAGCAAGCCCAGCCATTCAGAGCATCCTCTGCCCTCAAAACCCCACTGCCTCTGTAATCTCCCTCGCTGGGGCCTGTTGAACCCAGAATGTCTCCAAGGGCATTGGAGTACGTGAACTTAATCCTTCCCAGCACCCTTTTGAGGTAGATAAGTATTATTGTACCCCTTTCACAGACGACAAACTGAGGTTTGGAGAGACTAAGCTCCTTGAGCAGAACTAGTTAATAGCCAGGCCAGACTTGAAGCGCAGTCTGGCCGGCACCAGGGCCCTTTCCTGCCCCCACCCCATGACCTCCCATCCCCTACCCAGCCCTGCCTCGCGCAGCCAGCCCTCCCCCTCGCCGGCCTACGTGTCTCCGTTCTCATCCTGCGCTGTCAGCAGGTGGCGCTGTCCTGCCAGCAGCGCGCGCGCGTCCGCCGTGACGCCGTAGTCCAGCAGGGCTCGGGCGCTGCGCCGCGCCAGGCAGAACAGGCGCGCGTTGTACTCCCGGGCTGCGGACGACAGGGCCTGTGGGTAAGGGTTAAGTCCCCTCCCCGGTGTCCCGACCGCCCGATTGCCAGAGGCCCTACCTCGCTGCAACATCTCCGGGGCCTGCGGTTCGCCCTGGGCGGTCACAGGAGGCGCACCCGGCTCTGCTGCTTCCTTCACAGCGTCCGCGCCGGGCGCCGTGGCGGCCATCTGCGCCCCGCCCCCACCTCCAGGGTAGCAGCCCATGGGGGCCGCGCCCGACTGGTAGGGGCTGTAAGCCAAGGAGGAGTGGAAAAAGCCGAGGCTGCCACCTGTGGGTACAGGCAGGGCTGTGGAGAGAGGGCACCAGCCAGGAACCTCCCGGATTTCTTCCACAGATTCTCTTCCCTTTACCCCTCCCTCCTTCATCCCCCTTCCCACCACCAGCACCCCCTCACCTCCTCCTCCAGCTCCTCCATAACCCCCAGCCGAGCCCCCAGAGCCTCCACCCATGTGGGAGCCACCCCCGAAGGGCTGGGAGAAGGTGGGCAAGGCCTTCCTCCGCTTCCGCTGCACCTCCTCCTTGTCTGGGGGCAGAGGGAAATGGGATGTTAAAACCCCAATACATGGGTCATGCCTCAGGGTCCTTCCCCCAGAAGCCCTCAGGCTGGCTCCTCGGAACCATCACCTGGGACCCTCCCCACTCTTGACTTGGCTCTTGGGTCCCCTGATCTAGTGCTTGGGACTCTCCAGCTGAGCCCTGCCAACCCTCTACTGCCAGCCCCCTGGGATCCTCAGCCCAGCCCCACCTTCCACCAGAGGGTAATAGGTGAACTGTTTGGAGTCAGACACATCCCCCCCACGCTTTCGTTTCAGTTGCAGGAACACGGTTACAGGCCGCTCAATCTTCATCTTGTGATAGGGGGGTGTCCGGAACACAATGGCATACTGGTACAGGGGGAACAACACAGGGTGTCAGTGAAGCCTTCGCCTAATTCAGCTCCCAGCCCAGGCCCTGGCCCCTGGGGTACCTGTTTATGAACATCTGTAGGAGAGAAGTCCCCAAAGGCTTGCCATCCATTCTCATCATCCTCATAGAACCGAACTTCAATGTCATCTATGGGGAAAACTGACACTTGGCCACAGCTCCAGGGCCATCTATCCTGGAGGTGCCCTGGCCCCCAATCTTACACCCAATGTCTTTAGCTCCTAGTCTGGGCTTCAGCCTCACCTTTCTGCACCTTGTCACAAAGCAGATAAACTTCATCTCCACCCCGCACAGAGCCTGCTGTCTTGTCCATTCGAGAAATCTTCAGGTTTGAGGCCCCCGGAGACTCTATGGGGGTGGGATGTAGATTAGTTGAGATGATATAATAGCCATGGCCACATTTATGAAGCCAGGTGATTTGCACTCATCATCTCAACAACCCCAGGAGATGCAGGAACTGCTAGCATCCTCACGGACCAAAGATACAGGCAATACTCAGTGGGGGAAAGGACTTGCTCAAGATCACGCAGCTCATATATGGCAGGGCCAGGGTCAAAAGCCCAGGCCTATCTGACTCCACAGCTTGAGGTCACCCCTCATATTCCCTCTGGTACCCAGGTCTGGCATGCCAGGTAGTCAGGTACTCACTGCTGTCATGGATGGGCTGGGAGATAACTGGCTTCAGGGCCAGGGAGAAGGAGCCATCGCTGGCTCTAAGGAAGGCAGAGAAGCGTAGCCGCACAATACTCAGATCCATCACCTTCTTCAGCTCCTTGGCCTCCTGTTCCAGCTCTCGCCGCTCAGCCTCTGGCCAGTAGACACACGTGTGACTCCTGGGCTCCTCCTCCTTCCATGAGCACCTCCCATGACTCCCCTGCCCTGTACCTGTAAGGCCCTGGGGCCTGGAGCGGAGTCTCTGCCTCTGAAGTTTTTGTATCATAATCTCCATCATGTTCTTCTTGGTCACATGCAGAACACCCAAGTTGTTAAATCTGGGGACAAAAGAGAGTCAGAGGCCGGCCTTTTCCCATGCAGTCCTTTCCTCCTGAGGCACCTTCCTCATTGCCAGGGCTCGCCTCAGCCCTACTTCCTCAAGGAAGCTGTTCTAGTTTTTACTTGGGCCCTTGGGTTTTGGGGCCAACCTGTCTCCCTTTGGTCAGATGCTAACTCACAGAGGTGGGCTGGGGCCTGGGACTGGCAGGCAATGAGGGGGAATACCAGAGGGGGCCAGGGGTAGAGGACACCTACTGGGCAGTCATGTCCTTGGGCCCCACAGACACAGCGCAGACCCCCAGCTCGGAGCATTGCTTGCCCACCAGGCTGTGGGCATGAGCACGAGGTGGGTCACTGTGCGTTACCAGGTCCACCTCGATCTTGGCCGGTCCCTCGTAGTTACAGATCTGGGAAGGCAGGGGCTGTCAGTCATGCCCCCAGACATGTTGTCCATTAGCCCACCCTCTGACACCATACTGGCTCACCTTGACAGTGGGATAAGTCTTCCGGCCTTTCTCGCTGGAGGCACCTGGCAGTCCTCCATGGGAGGGACCTTCACAGCCATATCGAAATCGGAAGCCTCGCTGAAGGTCCAAAGGCAGAGTGACATTGTGATCAGGAGAGACCACCCGTGCTAGCCATATGCCTGGCCAGCAGTGACCACATGGCTGGTAGCAGCTGCCCTGAACCAGAACCGCACCACTGCAATCAGTAGTAGCCAACTATCCAACCCACTGTGGCCTCCTCCGCCAGTGACCGGCCCCATGGCCAGCCAGCTACAACTACCCCACTTATCCCCAAAGCTGAAGCCATTCCATACCATCATCCCTTTTGCTCACTCACCTGCTTAGGCTGTTCCACAATCACCAGGTAGGGGCCATCAGCTGGGGACAGAGAGGTCTTGCTGAGCTAGGGTCTCCAAGCCCAGCCCTCAGGCAGAGTAGAGTGTACACCACAGGCTCCCCCCCAAGAGAAGGGGAGGTCAGGGACTTACGTGTCTCTGGGGCCGGCTCCTTGGGCTCCACAATGGAGGGGTTGAATTTGAAATCATCATATTCAATGATGCCATCCAGACCCTGGTTTGGAGACAGACTGGGGGTGGCGGCTGATTCTGAGCCATCCCCAGAGTCCCACCTCCCATCTTTAAGCCCTCAATAGTCACTCCCCCTCCTCCCCAGCCCAAGAGAAAGCTCCTTGGGGAAGCAGAATTTGCAGAGAGACAGATGGGCAAACTGGGATAATCTGAAGGCACGCAGGTGTAAGGGAGCAGAAAAGACTCCAGCAGACGGGCAGACAGACACAGGGAGCCGCCGGCCGGTTTCAGGGCCAGGCGGCCTGACTCACTGGGTTGTAGAAACTCTCCATGTCTCTGGGCTAGGCCCGGCTCTGGTGGCTCCGGCCGGGTGCTGCTTCCAGAGTTTTAGGCGCCCGCCTAGATGGTGGTGGGGGGAGTGGCAGGGGGAGGGGGTCAGATTATAACGCGGGTGGGCGGGAGATGGGGGCCAGACTGGGGGAGGGTCCGATCTCCTCCAGCCGCCTGTCCGGGTGTGGCGGGTGAGATCCGGTGGAGAGCGAGATCCGGAGCTGGGCCCGGCCGGGGAAGGGGCAGGAAAGTTAGAGCAGCTTAGGAAAGTCCCGAAAATACCAGGGGGAGGCGGAGCCGGAGAGGGCGGGCCTGGAAATGACGCCGCGGGCCCCGCCCCCGCGGCGGGAGGGGCGGGAGGCCGGCACCCGCCGGCTGGCGTCCGCTGCTTCTCCTCGGCGGGCAGAGGGGCCAGGAGAGTCAGGGAAGCCCCTGTGGGGGCGAGGCCCTCTCCTCGCTCCAGGGCAGGGACGGGCCTCACGGCCGGGGGAGGCTCGAAGTCCTGGCCCAGGTCTGCCTTCTGCCTCCCTCCCCTCCCTTGGCCTGGAGCAACTTTGGGATTTTCTGCCGGGAGGGAGGCCATGGCTGATTCACCCCGGGGGGTTTTGGGGGGACATTCCTGCTGTCGGAAGGCCTCCTCTTTGAGTGGCCTGTAGGCGGGGGCTCTTCCCAGTGGGGGCCCCCAGGAGTTCTGCCCCGAAAACGCGATTCTGGGGCCACAGGGCAGGGGAGGAAAGGTGTACCCTTCTTTGGATCGGATCCTCTGGTTCCCCTCTCCACAAAACATCTCAATAGCCGTCCATCCCCACACCGCACCGGCTCTGAGTGTCCAGGTGACCGGCAGACCCCTGCACGCTCCCACCCCAGTCTCGCAGCCGTGTGTAATACACGTGTGTTTCCATCACAGCTCTACAAGTGTGGTTTTGGCCCTAGTGCTTGGGTGCATGTTGTGTGTGCATGGCGTCAACATGAGTGTGCAAGTGAGCATGTCTGTATACAGGTGGGTACATGTCAGTCTTGATGTGGAAGGGCAGCGGTGAGCACGTCTGCGTGTGCGTGTGTGAGAGTCCGACTGCACGGGCGCTGCTGTGCGCACGCCGGCACAGGTGCAGGTGTACGCACGGCCCGCGTGTCTCTGTACAAGGATGTCGACGTGTATCCGTGTGCCTGGCTCATCGTGTGCGCCCTCCCTGGGTGTGTGCCCTACCTGGGTGTGTGCATCCGCGGCTCTCCAGCCCAGGGGCTCGGTCAGTTACAGGCCTTCTTCCCGCCCTTCTCCGTGTCCTGGCCACCCGGGGGTCTGAACCCGGCCACTCACCGTGGCGGCGGCTCTGGTTCCGGCTTATCCCCGCGCCCGACCCGCCTCGGACGGATCGTGACACCTCTCCAGCCACCCGGGCTGCAGCCGGGAAAGCCCCTTTCCGGCCCCCCGGAGGGGGGAATTCCCGTGACGTTTCCGTGCGTCACGCCCCGTGCCCTTTTTCATTGGCTGAAAGTTTAACTCCGGCCTCGCGCAGCCAACCGGGAGCGACTCGGGCGCGCCCCGCAGAGGGGAAGAGTTCGCGCTGGGCGGGTCGCGGGGATGTCTGTCCACCAGGCCCGAGCTCTGGCCTAGGGGCCAGCCCGAGGAAGGACTGACTGAGCAAGGGCCACCCCAGCCGAGCGCCCGGGTTGCAGTCTCTTCACTCTTCACCGCCTCGGCCTGCCCCAGACGGCTGGGAGCTTCCGCCGCTACTCGGCTTTTGCCGCACCTGACGCTTGGCTACCTCTGAAGCTGGGGAACCCCAGGGGGAGCCGGCCTGCCCCAGCCCCCCGGTCCCCGCCCGGAGCCGGGCCGGCTGCCGGGAAGAGTTAGCGGAAGAGGAAGGAAGTTGATCTTGCGGTCGGTCCCAGCGCGCCATCTGGTGGTCTCCCTGGAGCCGCAAGGAGACTCCGGACCGGACCCTGGGCCCTCTGTCTGTTGCTCAGTCTCTTAGTGTCATGGCTCTGGGAAGAGACTGCCTGGACCTAAAACTTATTCTGTAAGTGGCAGATTCACAGTGGGCCAGGTTTTCAGGTTGATCTGACTTTAGGAACTCTGCACGGGAAAAGGGAAATTAAGTGTTTATCTGGGAGACTAGAGGCCTCGTTCATCCATCACGGAAATCTGGAATACTGGAATTGAAAATGCATCCAAAGTCTAAATGGTTCAAACTTACTCTGATGTAGGAAATCACCTCTTCTACACCTCCCAACTTCTAGAAGCAGCAAGGTCAGGAGAGGAATTCACCAAGCTGATTCTGTGGCTGGACCTCTCTCATTAGTAGCGTTTCTCTTTAGGAGGTGCCCTGAGTAATCTCCATTCCTGGAGTTGTCCTCCCTTAGGCTTGTGGTAGAACACCGGCTATTTCAGCTCTCTCTGCAACTTGCCCCTGACCTTTTAAAGGACAGAATTACAGGCCTGCACTAGTACTAAGTAAGGAGAGGCTATTATGGCTGTTGATTTGGGCTATTTCCTATTATGTGCCCCTCCTCTTCATCTTGCCTGCAAATTTAATGTGACGGGTAATAGGTTAGGGTACTTTAGTAGCAGTTCTTATTCTTTCTCCCTTCCAGCAACCCTAGGAGGTAAATATTACTGTTACATTACTAATGAAGAAATTAAGGCCCAGAGAGGTGAAGTAACAACCAAACACACAACTAGAAAGAGACAAAGCCAGCATTGAAACCCAGTCTGTTGACCCCACAACGAAGCTCTTTCTCCCAAGTTTGTATGAAGCAAAGTAGGCCTCTCCACCTTACTGTAGGCCTCTCACACGAATATCATAAGGTGCTGCCAGACCATTTGCTGTGATCCAGGTGTGTTGTCGTCTGTCTACAGTTCCCTGGTAAACAGATGCTTAACCCTTAAGTTGAAATGGAACAAGGTGAGTTTGGTACATTCCATCTTAGTGAACCTGTGCTGGTTGCCATGTACCATGACTATCCAAAGTGCTCATAAATGACAACCAAAATTGGCATGAGTTTGTCCTGTCTCCACAACATTGCTAAAAGTATACCTAGGTGTTGGAGCTATTTTAGTTATAAGAGTCTGAGCTGTAATTTATCTGAAGATTAAAAGAATTTTTATTATAGGAAATTTCAAATATATAAAGAGTGGAGAGAATAGTACAATGAACCTCCATGTACTCAGCTTCAACAATTTCCAATGTTTGACTGGATATATGAACAATTTCATGTTCGCCTGGATATATTTTTTATTTTTTAGCATCCATTCCAAGCAGAAAGGCCTGGAGATTTTAACTAACTCAAATTAGTTTGTTGTCAATAGCTATAGCCTCATCTATCTGGTCTTAAGAAGCCTCTTCATTGTTTGTTCCACCAATTCTTATCCACCCAGCTCTAGCACAATGCCTGGCCCAGAGCAGCTGCACCATAAATTTGCTCCATTCATTCACCAATAAATAGTGAGGGCCCACTCTAGAAAACAATGTCCTTGTTTACAGATAAAAATCAAATAGAGGACAGACACAGTGCTCATGCCTGTAATCCTAGCACTCTGCGAGGCCGAGGTGGGAGGATTACTTGAGCTCAGGAGTTGGAGACCAGCCTGAGCAAGAGCGAGACCCGTCTCTACTAAAAATAGAAAACTTAGCTGGGCATCGTGGCACATGCCTGTAGGCCCAGCTACTCGGGAAGCTGAGGCAGAAGGATTGCTTGAGCCCAAGAGTTTGAGGTTGCAGTGAGCTATGATGACTCGACTGTACTCTAGCCTGAACAACAGAGCAAGACCCTAAAAAAAAATCACATAGATATATAATATGTCTATAAGTAGGTAGGAAAAGAATAAGTAGGTAAGGGGATAGAGAGTGACAAGGGTTTTCTAGATAGCAGTCAAGGAAGGCCTCCGTGATGAGGTCACATTTAACCACTTCAGTATGAACGTCGACTATAGTTGATAGCCACAGATGAATGTGCACAGCGACTTTAGCCGACAGCCGTGATATAACTTTTCTAATTTTTCATTTATCAAAATAAAATTGTGAACATTTACAAATAACATAATGAAAACATATATGTATATGTTACCTATTCTGATTTACATTACAAGTAAAGCTGCCTGTAAAGTAAAACAAGCTTTCAGTGCTTTACAGCTTTCCTCATCACACAAGAGCAAAACGGATTCCTCGGCAGTGCACAGCACAAACTATTGTGCGGACTGAGTGCTGGCTGTGGGCAAGGTTTCGAGGTTGGTAAATAGTGACTTGAAGAAAGTGAGGGATTGAGTCAGGGGGTGGGGGACAGACTCTAGAGGGAGAGCATTCCTGATGGAGGGAGCAGCAGGGCCAAGGTTGCTACAACGTGTTTGGCATACTTAAGGAACAGCAGGAAGGTCAGGGAGGGGGAGTAACGTAAGAACTTTTGGGTTTGGTTCTGAACAGGATGGAAAGCCATCAGAGGCTTTTGAGCAGTGGAGTGAAAATGGAATGATGTATTTTAAAAGGATCGATCTGGCTGCTGTGTAGAGAGTACAGAGTATAGAATGTAGGGAACCAGGATGAAGGAGGGAGACCAGTAGTCTAATAGATGGTGGCTTAGATTTGGGTGGTAGTGGGTGAGGATGGTGAGAAGTAGTCACATTTTATTAATAGATTTAAAGATAGAAGCAACAGGACTTACTGAGGATTGGATGTAGGATGTGAGAAAAGAGAGGAGGTTTTTGGCGTAAAAACCTGGAAGAATGGTGTTGTCCTTTTCATGATGTGGGGCAGACTGGGGAGTGAGCAGATTAGTTATATCTGAGCTACCTATGAGTCATGCAAATGGAGCTATTGGGGGCAGGTGGGTATGAGTTCAGAGTTGGGGAGGAGTCAGGCTGGACATGTAAATTTGGGAGTTGGGCATAAAGTCAGTGGAATGGATGGTATTTAAAGCATTGACAACGGACAATAGCAAGTGAGTACAGAGAAGGGGTTTGAGGACTGAAGGGCATCGAGCTCTGGGGCATTCTAATGTTCAGAGTCTGTGCAGATGAGGAAGCGTCAACAAAAGAAATTGAAAAAGGCATGGCCTGTAGGTGGAGGAGAACCGGGAAAAACCAGTCTCAGAAGCAGAGTGAGGAATATTTCAAGGAAGGGGTGATCAGCTGTTTACTTGGACTATAGCTACTTCTCAACTGAAGCCCAGAGGCTGGTTGAGAAGCTCAGAGCCTGGTGGTTGAGTGGTCCTGCTTTCTCATGGCCACTTATGTCCCAACCAGTAAGCCCTGAACAAAGGTAAATACCCGTGGCTCTAATAACCACACTTTTTGTTGTTCCTATTACTTTTTTGGGGGGAGGGCATTGTAGCTCATTCTGTAATTCATCCTTCCTCATATCATTATGTACACAGAAAATTGACATTTATTCTTGGTTATGTGCATCTCTTTCCAGTTTTTACAGACTCCTACTAAACTCTGAGCTCAGTAGGTAACAGTTTGCTTCTTCAGATGCTCAACCTTTTATTTTTCACGAGAAAATGTGTTTTCACTGAAAAAAATGTGTTTAGCTTTGGAAGGTTCCTACACCACCCCACCACTACTTCTGAATGGAAGATGTGTCATCATAGAAAAGAACATGAAGTTTAGAGTGAGACTGACCTGGGTTTGATTCCCAACCCCCTAACTTCCGTGACTTGGTCTCTCTGAACCTTGTTGCTTCATCCGTAAGGGGAGAAAATACTTCTAAAATGTTGTTTGAGCAATGCATTTAATATTGACACCCATAGATGTTCTGACAATGTCAGGTCTCTGTGTTAGGGCCTTAGGTCATGGAACAATCTCGAGTTTTCCTCTGTACTTTTTTTTTTTTTCATTTTTTTTTAAATTTCAGCATATTATGGGGGTTCCTCTGTACTTTTGAAAATCTGCTGTGCTAGATTTCTGGTGGGAGATGTCATTAAGACTAGCATTTCCAGGCCGGGCGCTGTGGCTCATGCCTGTAATCCTAGCACTCTGGGAGGCCAAGGTGGGTGGATTGCTCGAGGTCAGGAGTTTGAAACCAGCCTAGGCAAAAGGCGAAGACGCCGTCTCTACTATTAAACCTACGAAAGAAATAATGGCGAACTAACATATATAGAAAAATTACTGCATGGTGCGTATGCCTGTAGTCCACGCTACGTGGGAGGCCTGAGCGCAGCAGGATTGCCTTGAGCCAAGGAGTCTTTGAGGTTGCTGGAGACTAGGGCTGACGCCAGCAACAACTCACCAGCCTGGCAACAAAACAGACTGCTAAAAAAAAAAAAAAAAAAGACTAGCATTTCCCTCTGGACTATGCTATTACTTTTCCCCAAGGTTTTGTCACTTCCATATCACCAAACCATTCTTCCTTGTTGGTCAGAATCAAGGCCTGAGTATTAGTTCCTCTTGTAGCTTCCTTTGCCTTCAAAGAGACAACATTGTCAACAACACAAGTCATGCATGTATTAGCTGCTCTTTTTATAACAGAATACTCCGGCAAATGTTTTTCTTTGCTACCCAGCAGGGAGAGGGTCAGTTTGCAATTGTTTCAGCTTCTTTCCTAATTTTTGAGACCAATTAAAAGACACTGGAGTTGTCATATTCCTTTATTCATAGGATGGACTTCTTTGCAGCAGTCAATACTATTTTCCCCAAAGGGAAACACATGGAAGCTTCTAAAGGCAGAACTTGTGGGACTCATGGGAGAATAGACACCATAGGTGAGTCCGAGGGCCCTAGTGTCTGGCTAGCTACAGATCCTGGGTTCTTTTTTTTTTTTTTTGAGACAGAGTCTCGCTTGTTGCCCAGGCTAGAGTGAGTGCCGTGGCGTCAACACTCACCAGCAACCCTCAAACTCCTGAGTTCAAGCAATCCTGCTGCCTCAGCCTCCCAAGTAGCTGGGACTACCAGGACTAAAGGCATGCGCCACCATGCCCGCGTAATTTTTATATATATATATCAGTTGGCCAATTAGTTCTTTCTAATTTATAGTAGAGACGGGTTCTCGCCTCTGCTCAGGCTGGTTTTGAAACCTGCCCTTGAGCAATCATGCCCGCCTCGGGCCTCCAGAGAGCTAGGCATTACAGGCGTGCCACCAGCTGCCGCCTCCGGCTAATTTTATTACATATATTCAGTGCAATTAATTCTTCTATTCTATAGTAGAGACGTCGCTCTTGCCAGGCTGGTTGAAACTCCTACCTCCGAGGAACCGCCGCCAGCTCCCAGAGTGCTAGGATTACAGGCGTGAGCCACCGCGCCCGGCTAGATCCTGGGTTTTTTGCACTCACCCATAGAGCCCTCTGCCCCTCCTAATTTTCCCAGGGGCAGAGTTGGGCAAGGCTTCCGGTTAGTGTAGAAACCAGGTGGGAAAAATGGAAGGGAAGAGGGAAAAACTAGTCTAGGAGCTTCAGGTGTCATGTCTTAGTATTTTATCACATAGGGCTGTTCCCATTTCCGAGGCACCCTTTTCTATGCAAAGGGAAGCACTTGCAGAAATCCAAATGCTCAGCAATGTGGATGTGCTGAGCAAAGGGAAACTTGTAGTGCTGAAAGATCATACAGCCTGCTGGGCCCCAGAGCAGAGGGTGAGTGCCCCTAACTCTCCATGAGGGAGGCCAGCTGGTAGTACAACAGGATCCCATTCTTCTCTGTGCACCAGGAGGGGTAAGGCGCCATCTTGGGCAAGGAAGCCAAGATGATGTAGATGCTTTGCTTAGGAAAGCTTAATGCATGGCATCCTGAATATCACCCTGAGGGGGAAAAACACACTTAAACGTGCTTTTTCTATTCTCTTACTCAATAACAATCAATACAGAAAACTTCTGTGACCAAATATGTGGGGGTCCTACCCCTCCACACCAAACAAGCAGTCAGTTCTGTAGCAGACGGCAGATAAGTGTCCTCTAGTTCAATTCCAACACTATCTACCTCCAGATAGATCCCATAGGTTGAGAGCTCAGTCCCTAAGACTGCTCCCCATCACTTCCAATGCCAATCACAAGACCCACATGGTTTTGCCTGTGCTCTGACTGACCAGCTATAAATTATGGTTAATTTAATTATTTATTTATTGTATATTATTTTTTATTTTTTTTGAGACAGAGTCTCCCTTGCTTGTCCAGGCTAGAGTGAGTGCCATGGCGTCAGCCTAGCTCACAGCCACCTCAAACTCCTGGGCTCGAGCGATCCTCTGCCTTCAGCGCTCCCGAGTAGCCTGGGACTACAGCATGCGCCACCATGCCCGCTAATTTTTTATTATATATAATCAATTGGCCAATTAATTTCTTTCTATTTATAGTAGAGACGCGGCTCGCTCTTGCTCAGGCTGGTTTGAACTCCTGACTGAGCAATCCGCCCGCCCTCGGCCTCCAAGAGCTAGGATTACAGGCGGAGCCACACGCGCCCGGCCTCTTTATTTATTTTTAATTTAATTAATTTATTTTTAGACAGAGTCTCACTCTGTTGCCTGGGCTAGAGTGCCATGGCATCAGCCTAGCTCACAGCAACCTCAAACTCCTGGGCTCAAGCAATCCTTCTGCCTCAGCCTCCCGAGTAACTACAGGACTACAGGCATGCACCACCATGCTCAGCTAAGTTTTTCTATAGACTTTTAGTTCACCAATGAATTTTTTTCTATTTTTAGTAGAGATGGGGTCTCGCTCTTGCTCAGGCTGGTTTTGAACTCCTGACCTTGATCGATTCGCCCGCTTCAGCCTTGTCTCCCAGAGTGCTAGGATTACAGGCGTGAGTCACCACGCCTAGCCTAAATTGGGGTTCTTATAACCCCCTCCTTGGGTAGGCTTAATTTGCTAAAGTGGCTCACAGAATTCAGGGACACACATACTTACATTTACTAGCTTATTACCAAGAATATTTTAAAGGATACAAATAAACATCCAGATGAAGAGAAGTCTGGAAGGGTCCCGAGCATAAGAGCTTCTGTCTCCATGAAATTGGGGCACACCACCCTCCTGGCATGTTGAGAGTTCTTGCTTACCTTCCAGTAAGCCTCCACCTGTTCAGCTATCCAGAAGCTCTCTGAACCCTGGGTTTCTATGGTGGCTTCATGGCATAGGCATGATTGGTTAAACCATTGGCCACTGGTAATCAACTTAACCTTCAGTCCCTCTACTATTCCCAGAGCTTGTTAATCCCTCTAATCCTGCCTTGGTGACCAGCCCCCATTCTGAAGCTATCTATGGGGTGCCAGCTATCAATCAACTTATTAATATTCAAAAAGACATCACTTTGGAGATTCTAAGGATTTTAGGAGTTGCAGGCCAGGAAATGGGGTTGAAGACAAAATATATATTTCACAACATTACACACCCACAGCACCTCAGCCCTGCAGGGGGCACACTGCCTTCTCCTTGCTCCATGCACTCCCACCTGTCTTACCCTGATGCAAAGGGAAAGAAGGAGAGGTCTTTCAATCATGTTTAGTGATGGGCGGATGGTGGGATAGGGATAAAATTGTTCCTCTTTGGTTTGGGGGTCAAAATTAATGCCCTTTAGTCAGGTGTGGTGGCGTGTGCCTGAGGTAGGAGGATCCCTTGAGCCCAGGAGTTTGAGGCTGCCGTGAGCTGTGATCGCATCACTGTACTCTAGCCTGGGTGACAGAGCGAGACTGTCTCTTAAAAAAAAAAAAAACAAAAGAAAAAAGGATGCTCTCCCCCAAGAAACACATGATCGCAGCTGTGGGCAAGATGTCCTTCTGCCTCTTAAACCCCGAGAGCTCCTTTGTGCTCTTGAACCATGAGGCACATCTGTGGGAAGACTTCTGAATAACTGCAACTCAGCTCTGACTCATCTTCCTGCTGACCCCCGTCCAGGCTGTCTCACATGTCTCCCTTGGAGCAGTTATTGGAAAGGGACACCTGCCCAAGCCCCTGGCACACCTGTGGTGACAAAGGCACACTGTTGTGACAGTAGGAGGGGGCAGCAGTGTGAAGGAATACTGACCGCAGCCCTAGCATCTGGGTGGTGGCCAGGGGAGAGGTAGGCCAGACTATTGGTAGGCTCAGCCTCCTTTTACCTGTTCACCTAGGCCCAAGCCCTAGGCGTCACAGTAACATGGTGCCCTGACCCATAAACTCAAGAAGGAAACCAGAGGGAAAGGCAGTGATGTTATACTAAGACATTTATTATATCATAAAAAGTCCACTGTTGTCTTGTTTTTCCATATGTACATGCTCCTGTGGGCAGTCCCCCATCCAGCCCCACCTGCCCACCCTCCATGGTGCCAGTCAACTCTCCAAATTGACCCACTAATTAGTAAAAGAGGAAGAACTGGAGGAGGTGGCCCAGGGCTGATGGGCATGGGAAGGCAGAGGGAAAAAAAGTGCAGAGTGGTTGGGCGTGGCTCTCAATGCCTGACCACAGGCAGGAGGGGCACACAGGCAGGCACTGCAGGGTTGGCAGAGTGATGCCTCCCCAGAACTGCCAGGCTGGAGGCAGAGTCTACAGGTGATACCTGAGTGCACTCTCAGGTTGGACCCCCAGGAATGGAGAGCAGAAGAAGAGGGTCCCACAGTCTGTTTGGGGTGTCTCCACAGGGGCTATCTAAGTTCTCTTTTTCAGGTCCCCGTCCAAGTGGCAGTGACAGCAGCTTGGACTGGGTCTGAAGAGTTTGTGGCCCCTGGGACAGCCGGAAGGGGGACCAGGAATAGCCTGGTGGGAAGCACTGGTCCTGATCTCTGAGGGATCTGCCTTAGTTGACCTCAGAGGTGGGTATGGGGTCTGTGGGGCGTGGTGTGGCCAGGAGGGGCACTGGTGAGGTGGCCTCAATGAGTGCAGGGTTAAGGATGATAGGTAGAGTCATGGGTGGCACGCCCACTTGCAGTGGGGAGGCCAAGGGCTGCAGGATCAGTGGGGGCTGAGCCAGGGGCGGAGGCCCATCTGGGCTGGGACTCAGCCTGCTGGGGCTAGAGGCCACTGGTGACCCTGGGGAGCTGCTGCTGGTAGCCCGGGGGCTTTCAGGCTTCTCAAAGTCTGTAGGGAGAGCAAGGTGGCTGCAATCAGACTCTCTTGTTGGCACAAATTCCTGTATCCTCTAGCTTGTTTACCAAATCTCTGTTCCTCCCAATTCCTATGAGCAAAATGGCCCTTCCAGGCTAAAAGTTGGGTGTCTCCCTGAAAACTTAGTCTAATATTGAGCTACCCTATATCTTCCCTCCACCTCCTTTTGCTATACCCCTCATCAAGTTGATTTTGGTCTGGTTTTTACTAGCCTCCCTGAAGGGCAACCTCTGTGTATTCAATCCAAGTCCCTGACTCAGCTTTTTCCTCTCGAGTTTGAAAATCTCAAGCAGCCAGCTTACCACAGCTTACTTGGTCCTGCCATTCCCCAGGATGAGCAGGCAAACTGGATTCAATGGCTGCCGCCTTCCTCGGCGCACAGCCCATGCTCAGCAGCAATCCCAAGCTACCCTGGGCTTCCTCTCAGGCCTCCTGCTTGCTGCCTGACACCCAGCAGGCTAGCCCAGAGGGACTCACCACAGGCCCCTAGCTCAGAAGGTGTCTCTGGGGGAGGTGGATGGCCAGGTGTCTTGGTGTCACCAGCAGCAGGAGTCAGGTGGGCTGAGGCCATAGGTTTTTGGCTGTGAGGCTCCACGGGCACGGAGTCTGGGGAGGGTGGAGAATCCATATGGCAACTCTTACAGCTTTCTTTCCCATAGAGCCCTAGCCCACCAGACTTTCCACCCACCTAGGGCACAGAGAATGGATTCAGTTTTGGGGAGCCTTTTTGATAAAGCTGGGCTAGAGCCCCCTACCCTGGATGACGGTCTGCTTGAAGAGCTCATCACGTAGGTGGGGCAGAAAACAGTCAATGCGCTCCCAGGTGATCTCCCAGAGGGCTGAGGGACTACCTCCTCGTGCATCTGCACTGTGGAAAATCTCTGCTGTGTCCATCACCAAGAGCATATTCTTCAGAGACTCGGGGATGGCCTCTGACTGCAGGCAGCGGTGGGAACATGAGAATAGGAGAGAGAGCATGGCAAGGGGAGATAGCTGGCAAGGGGGAAACAGCAAGTCTTCCCAGCAGGTGGGAATCGAGCTGAGGTAGAACATACCAGTAAATCACTGGAGCCTGCATGCATGTACTTGTCCATGAAGTCCAAGATGGTGAGCCAGAGGGCCGCAAAGGTAGAGAGTGACAGCAGTGGAGACAGGTGCTGCAGGAAGACCTAGGGCCCACCAGCCCCCTTCAGCCGAGGGTAGTGTATGAGCCTTCTGCACCCCTCTCTAAGGTTGGGAGGCAAGCCTGCCCTATCTTTCATGGGAATCTTAGATCAGACATTCCTCTTAGATCCCTGGGTCCTGTTGAGTCTCCACAGCTGGGAGTCATGAGCACCTATATTGTATCTCTAAGTCCTGCCAGAAGCCCTAACTTCTCTCCTTGGGAAAAGGCAGGTATGGGGAGAGTAGGTGGGTGTGGGGTGGTAAGCAGTACCTTAGAGAGCAGTGTGGAGGCCCTCATCCGGGTCTCCTCCATCCCACCCACATCTGCAGGGCTAATGTTCTCCAAGAGCTTGGTCAGTAGAGGAAACAGCACCTGGGGGGGAAATATCCAAAGTCTTCTTAGCAGAGTCAGGTGGGCAGCCTTGCTCCAAGGAAGCCAGGGGTTAGGGTGCATGGGCATAGAGCAGAAGGGAAGGTATAACACATGCTGAAGACTGATATTAGGGGCTCTTTGGGCTGCCTGGCTTTCCTCATCTTACGATTTGAACTTTATATTAAAACCAGTAGGAAGCCCTACCTTGTTAAAACAGGACTCCCATTCCAGGGCATCTAGCTTTTGCAGATCATGTACCAGTAGTGCTCGCTGCAGATAGGTCAGTGCCTGCATCCGCACCTGGCGCCGGGCATCACAGCATAAGCAGGCAATGCCTGAGAGCGAGAGCAGTGTCAGGATCCTTCTGGTATCTTGACCTGCTCCCCAGGCTCCAGCTCTACCTCTTCCCCTCCCCTGACTGCTTCCCAGGTTTACCCTGCAGTAAAGGGCACCAGCAGTGGGCCCAGAGGGTACGTGAATCCGCTTCGATTCTCCGGCCACCTGTCTCCAGGTGGCGCTGCTCCTCTGCCCATGAGCTGTAGATAGAGGCCGCCCTCGTGTGCAGGGTGTGCATCAGATCTAGCAACTGGAATCACAGGAGGGGGCAGGACACGAGTGAGGTTAGGTCTGGTGGACCCCTTCCCCCCCCCCACTGTCCCTGACTGAGTCCTCAAGTGGCTCCTAGAACCAATCACACTATACTCCACCCCTCTTGCTACTCCCTTTTCCTTGACTTGATGAGCTAGTTGCTCTAGTCCTGGCCATGTTTCTCCAAGTCAGGTATTACTCATGGTAGAAGAGAGTAAATACATCTCCTTAAAGTATGGAGATGTATTACTAAGGATTTAATAACACTGAATTACACAGTGAGAAAGGTACTTTCTTTTCAATTTAATTTCACCACCTCTGATGATAGAAAGCCTCATCTTGTTAATCTCATTTTAAAAACAGAAAGCTCAGTCTGAGCAACATAGCGAGACCCTATCTCTACAAAAAATACCCAGAAAAATTAGCGGGCATGGTGGTGCACCCCTGTAGTATTAATACCAGCTACTTGGGAGGCTGAGGCAGGAGAATTGTTTGAGCCTAGCATGTTGCAGTGAGCTGTGATGACACCACACTGCACTCTAGCCAGGGCAATGGAGTGAGACACTGTCTCAAAAAAAAAAAAAAAGTAAGAATAGAAAGCAAGCTCAGGCTCAGAGGCTTTGATGGGCAATAGTACCTGGCCAGATCTAATACATTTTTATTTTCATCATTTTTCTAAGGTTATTCTATTTAAGAAAATTTGTTCTTCATTTATTTAGTGATATAAAGCCTGTTCTTAGGGTAAATATTATATGCCTTGAGTAGACAAAGAGTTACTCTGGAAGGATAGATAACAAACTGGTGAAATGGAAACTTTTATCAATTCACCCTTTTGTACCTTTTGAACTTTGTACCATGTGCATATATTATCTATTCAAAAAATAAGTACACCTTAGTTCAAAGATAAACTTAAGCAAACAAAGACTTACAGGTGGTCTTGGACAAGGGGGAATACTGTGAAGGTGGTGGTCCAGGGCCTGGGCTGGAAACACATGGGCCCTTCCTCTCAGCCCTGGCTTTCCCTGGCCACACCCAGGCTCCCCGTATCAGGTGCAGAGGAGGAGAGGAAGTAAAGGGTGCCGTACTTACGTCCTGACTGACCTGTAAAGACACCGTATGGTAGCTGGCAGGCACACCTTCATCCTCATCATCATCACTGTGGCCGCCCCGAGTGGTATGTTGGGTAGAGGTTCGAGGCCGCCGAAGCATTGAGCCCTCCTTGGATTTCTTCTTGAATCGGTTCCCTTTGCTATCATATTTGTGACTTTTGCCACGTTTCTCCTGGGACTTACACCCTGAACAGAGCCAGATGCAGGTTACATTTCCACAGCCATAGGCACCTGTGCCCTGCCTTTCTCCCCTATCCACCTCTCCCCTGTATGTTCAGGTGGCTACTCCCCAACTGCCCATTCACCAGGTGACCCACCGCCATTCAGACTGGCCTCCACAAAGATGCGGAGAGTCTTGACGCAGAGCTCAAAGTTGTCAGGTGTGATGTGGGCAGCGTCACGCACGATGAAGGACAGTGATTCCACACATTTAAGCAGGGACTTAGTGTCGTGTGGCCCCAGGTCCAGTCCCACTGTTAGGCTGTACTGATTGATCAGGGGTGAAGGGCCTGGCCGGCTGGGCCCTGGCCCTGGCTTGGAGTTATCAATATCATCCTTCCCCACCTGTAAAGTACACAGAGGGGATGTGGACCCAGGCTTGGTCCTGTCTACTCCTAGATGCCCTCTCAGAGGACCAGGAATCCTTCCCACAGGCCCAAGGAGGGGAGACTCACCCACTGCCCATACTCTCACTCACCACTAACCAACCGCTGTTGACTACGTCGGCATCTGTGGCCGATCGGTGCATCTTGCCAGGCCTGCCATGGTCAGTGTAGACCTCTGAGTCAGAAGTGTACCCTCGGTCCAGGCTCACATCATTTTGATGGTAGGATGGGAGCTCACTGTCTGACTGGGCCCCTATGCCAGGCAGGGAGAAGGGCAGAGTCAGGGTTGGGGTGGGCTACTGGGATAAGGGATAACTTAGGCTTTCAGAAGAAAGATGCTGAGGCCTCATCTCCCCTCTCTCTAGCATGGCTTACTTTCAGCCCTGTCACCAGAGGGCTGAAGAATGGCCTGGACAGCTTCTTTCTTGACCAAATAGAGCAGTAAGCTAATTTGGGCTCCTGATGGCATCTAGTAGCAGCTGTCAGGGGACAGGAGTGGTAGAGAGGACATAGTTTCTGGGAAAATAGTCCTCAGGACAGTAGGAAGCCTGGCTTCATAGTACTCTTGTGTTGCCTACTTGCCTTCATGCTATTTAACCTATGGGTACTGGCCAGCATAACTACAAGCTCTGGAAGCATATGGAGAAGCCAGGGGTGTTTAATCTGCTGAATGCAATAACCTGTGGTGTTTTCCTGTTCCAACTCCTGGGCACATAACTGCTTATCTGCCATCCTGAGTCTCTCTGGGAAAGGGCTTACCGGCATCAGGTGCATCAGCCCTGGCTGTGGCCTGCAGAGCAGCTGGAGGCTTCACGCCTGAGCCAATGCACTCCAGCAGCGTGAAGAGGGTGGCCCAGTCATCGCCTGAGTGGATGTTGGCAGCATTAGTCTTAAGAAGTTCATGGAGCCCATATGCAACCTGGTGGCTGACTCGGGACAGCACGCTGGGTTTCATCAGTAGCAAAATGCGCAGGGAGAGCAGTACCTAAAGTAGGGGGTGGGAAGCAGGAAGTGGGGAATGGGCACACAGCTTCCTGTCTAGTCTCCTTCCCCACCAGTCTCCTTAGGCCACTGGGGAGAGTTTGGCTGCTGGTTGCTGCTGGTCTTAAGGTTGCTGCTGGTCTTTTTTTTTTTTTTTTTCATTTTTACAAATAGATTTTTTTTTTCCTGAGACAGAGTCTCAGTTTGTTGCCCTGGCTGGAGTGCCATGGCATCACCCTAGCTCACAGCAACCTCAAACTCTTGGGCTCAAGTGATCCTCCCACCTTGGCCTCCCAGAGTGCTGGGATTACAGGTGTGAGCCACCACGCCCAGCCTCAAATAGAAATTGTTATTGAGATAAGTATAGGTTCATATGCAGTTGTAAGAAATAATACAAAGAGATCCCTTATACACCTTGCCTAGTTACCCCCATGGCAATATTATGCAAAAGGAGGCCAGGAGTGGTGGCTCATGCCTGTAATCCTAGCACTCTGGGAGGCAGAAGTGGGTGGATCGTTTGAGCTCAGGAGTTTGAGACCACTCTGAGCAAGAGCAAGACCCTGTCTTTACTGGAAAAAAAAAGAAAGAAAAAAATTAACTGGACAATTAAAAATATATAGAGAAAAAATTAGCCAGGCATGGTGGTGCATGCCTGTAGTCCCAGCTACTCAGGAGGCTGAGGCAGTAGGATTGCTTGAGCCCAGGAGTTTGAGGTTACTGTGAGCTAGGCTGACACCACGGCACTCTAGGCCAGGCAACAGAGTGAGACTGTCTCAAAAAAAAAAAAACAAAACAAAACCCCCACCCCCAAAAAACACTATAGTATATCACAACCAGGATACTGACATTGATACAATCCACTGCTCTTATTCAGATTTCCCAAGTTTTGCTTGTATTTATATGTGTATGTATATTAAGTTCTACACAGTTTTATTACCTGTGTAGGTTGTGTATCCACCACAAGACAATATACTGAACAGTTTCAACACCACGGGATCCCTCATGTTGCCCTTTTATCACCACACGCACCTCCTCCTTCCTGTCCCCATCTCTAACCCCTAGTATGTAACCTTCTGAGATTTGCTTTTTTTCACTCAGCATAATTCCCTGAATACTCATCCAAGTTGTTACATATATCAATAATTTGTTGCTTTATTTACTTATTTATTTATTTATTGAGACAGAGTCTCACTTTGTTGCCCAGGCTAGAGTGTGTGCTGTGGCATCAGCCTAGCTCACAGCAACCTCAATCTCCTGGGCTCAAGAGATTCTACTGCCTCAGCCTCCCGAGTAGCTGGGACTACAGGCATGTGCCACCATGCCCGGCTAATTTTTTGTACATATATTTTTAGTTGGTCAATTAATTTCTTTCTATTTTTTTAGTAGAGAGGGGGTCTTGGTCAGGCTGGTTTCGAACTCCTGACCTCAAGCAATCTGCCTGCCTCAGCCCCCCAGAGTGCTAGGATTACAGGCGTGAGCCACCACGCCTGGCAGTTTGTTGCTTTAAATTGCTGAATTGTATTTGATGATATGTATGTACCAGTTTATTCACCTGTTGAAAGTCATCTGGGCAGATTCCAGTTTCGAGCTACTACAAATAAAGCTTCTATGAACATTTGTGTACAGGTTTTTATAAGAAAGTAAGCTTTTTTCTGGGATAAATGACCAAGAGCACAATTGCTGGGTTGTATGGTAACTGCATATTTTGTTTTATAAGAAACTGCCAACAGAGTAGCTATACCATTTTACATTCCCACCAGCGATGTATGATTGATCAGTTTCTCTATATCCTTGCCAGCATTTGTTACTGTCACTATTTTTTACTTTAGCCATTCTGATAAATGTGCAGTGATGTCTCATCATGTTTTTTTTTTTTTTTTTTTTGAGACAGAGTCTCACTTTTGTTGCCCAGGCTAGAGTGAGTGCCGTGGCGTCAGCCTAGCTCACAGCAACCTCAAACTCCTGGGCTCAAGCGATCCTCCTGCCTCAGCCTCCCGAGTAGCTGGGACTACAGGCATGCACCACCATGCTCGGCTAATTTTTTGTATATATACTTTTAGTTGGTCAATTAATTTCTTTCTATTTTTAGTAGAGACGGGGTCTCGCTTAGGCTGGTTTCGAACTCCCGACCTCGAGCAATCCGCCCGCCTCAGCCTCCCAGAGTGCTAGGATTACAGGCGTGAGCCACCGCGCCCGGCCTCATTATGTTTTTAATTTTGCATTTCCCTGATGGCTAATGATGCTGGACTACATTTCATGTGCTTATTTGCCATCATATATCTTCTTTGATGAAATGTCTATTCCTATGTTTTGCTCATTTTCTAATTTGATTGTTTTGTCACTGTTATGTTTTGAGAGTTTTAATATTTTATTTATTTATTTATTTATTTATTTAGAGACAGAGTCTCACTTTGTTGCCTGGGCTAGAGTGCCGTGGTGTCAGCCTTGCTCACAGCAACCTCAAACTCCTGGGCTCAAGCGATCCTTCTGCCTCAGCCTCCCCAGTAGCTGGGACTACAGGCATGTGCCACCATGCCCGGTTAATTTTTTCTATAAACTTTTAGTTGGCTAATTAATTTCTTTCTATTTTTAGTAGAGACAGGGTCTCGCTCTTGCTCAGGCTTGTTTCGAACTCCTGACCTTGAGCGATTCGCCAGCCTTGGCCTCCCAGAGTGGTAGTATTACAGGCGTGAGCCGCCACACCCGGCCTTGACATTGCATTTTAAATTTCAGTTTCCATATGTTCATTGTTAACATGTAGAAACATGATTAATTTTTGTCTATTGATCTTATATCCAGAGACCTTGCTAAACTCACTTATTAGTTCTATGCTGGTTGCTTTTTGTAGATGTGCAAAGAAATCTCAGGAGGGTCATAAATAAGCATGAAAACTAGGAAACTAGATATAGGGCTTGGACTGCTATAAGGAAGCAGCAGTCCAGCCCTACAAAACAGATTCATAGGAGCCTACAGAGGTGCAGAGCACAAGCTTCATGCCTGGGGCCATTTCAAGCTCACTCCCAATGCTACCTGTTAGACCATACCAGGCTTATGATTGACCACTGAGCTCATGCTATGCCTTAGGTCATTGGTCCCCAACCTTTTTGGCACCAGGGATCAATTTCATGGAAGACAATTTATCCACAGACTAGGCATGGGGTGGGAGGAGAGAGGAGGGGGATGGTTTTGGGATGATTCAAGAGCATTACATTTATTGTACATTCAAACTTCTCTGCTAATGATAATCTGTATTTGCAGCCACTCCCCGGTGTTAGCAACACCACCTCAGCTCCACCTCAGATCATCAGGCATTAGATTTTCTCAAGAAGCACATGACCTAGATCCCTCACATGTGTAGTTTATAACAGGGTTCATGCTCCTGTGAGAATCTAATGCCACCGCTGATCTGACAGGAGGCGGAGCTTATGCAGTGATGTGAGCGATGGGAGAGGCTGTAAACGTTGCTTACTTCCTGCTGTGCAGGCAGGTTCCTAACAGGCCACGGACCAGTACTGGTCCATGGCCTGAGGGTTGGGAACTGTAGTCTTAGGACATATCTGTAATTGACACTGTGGCCTTAATCCCTTGCATACCTGCCTGTCCTCCCTCTTACCTGGCCACTGATCTCTTCTCTCCGGAGTAGCCGGATGGCTAGGCGCAGCAGCCCTACCACTGCCCGCTCCACAAGAAAGCAGAAATCCTGTGCCTGGACACAGAGGTGGTATAGATGGTCTCGAATAGTCTGCCACACACAGCCCACACGGTCCCTGCAGAGAACATAAAGGGAAGACAGTCTCAGCCAGAAAGGTCTGAGCAGTAAGTCTCCTAGGTCTTTCAGAGCTCGGGTATTACCTTAAGTAACACAAGCAGGCTTCTCCCCTACTGCCTACAGTTCCCCAGAGCCCACTCAGCAAGATGGCTTCCACCTCTTTGGCACAAGCCCAGTATGGGGTCTGCCTAAAGACTGCCCTCACCTGCCTTCTCCTACCTGTTCTCCAACACAATCCTTAGCAGCATTTCCAGGCAGAAAGCAGCATCTTCCTCATCATATGTCTCTTCATCTGGTGTTACTGAGACCAGAGCCTGAAGGGGGACAGCAGCAAGAAAGTAGGCATGGAGAAAAAGCCAACCACTAGCTCTGCCCTTACAGAAACTGAGGCATACACCACTGTTCCTATCCCCTCCCAAACTCAGACAGCTCTTCCATTCCTCTTTCTTCATCCTGTACCTTCATGAGCTCCTGCAGTGACTCCAGCTGGAGGAACTTGCTCTCTGTGATCATTTTCTCTGGGTCACATTGCTAGACAGGACACAAGAGAGAGGGGGTATGCAATAAGGGCTGAAGGGAAGAGAATTCCGCAAGAGCCAGGGAGAAAAAGCAGGGGGGGGGGGGAGTCAGCCCTGGTCACAAGCCCTGGATGATTGTTTCTATTCTTCAGTTCATAAGGCAGTATCTGTCCAGTAGGGAGGAGTCTAGGCTTTCTTATTAAGGGTGGGTACGCAGTTACCTTAATGCACTCTAAGGCTACTCTCTTGGCCTCTTGGTTCTCAGTGGATGGGCCCCGCACACTAGACTGCTCAGGACCACTCAATGTCAGCCAGCTCACGAAGCTCAGCACTGTTGATTCTCCTCTGTAGAAAAAGGGCACATGCTATGGTAATGCCCAAAGTTCTGACTCCTGCTTCCCAAGGTCCTCAGCCTCTGGTCTGCTCTTACCGGTTTGATGGTGTCTCCTCCCGCTGTAGAGAGATCTTGCCATTGGGATCCACAAAATCTTCTACCTGGAAAGGTAGGTAAAAATAGTTTCTTTCTATAGGCCCATTGCATCCTACCCCCACTTCAAGCAAAGTTCTCTGAATTTCTTCATGTAGGTCTCTTGCCCATACACTATTGCACCCCCTCCAACTTGTGACCGGCAATGGTTTCTACCAGTCTTCTACAGCTATCCCCTAAGATCTGTGGTCTTACATTTAAGGCATTCTTGGTGAGCTTTTGGCAGGCATCAGGCCCAGTGCTACCCTCAACCAGTTCTATATGCAGATAGCACATAATGTCAGAGGTCTTTCCTCGTTATTGTTGACTAATCTTAGATCAAGAATTACCTCCACCATAGCCTTGGGCAATAGTTGGGCTCGGAAGAGCTGCAGCATGGCCTCCATGATGTTCTTCCAGCCCTCCCGCAGGATGTCACCATGACGATGGGCCAAATGGAATACTGTCTTGGCTGCAATGTGGGCCTTAGGGTTACTTCCAAATACACTGGGTAGGTTCTCGATAGACTAGAAAAGAGGATGAGAAGAGGCTTAAGGTCTGGCTGATGTCTGGAAAGGAAAATCTCTTAGGCCTCTAACTATGGTTCCCTCAGGGTCCTTTTATTGGCTCTGCCTCAATCTCCCATAATGCTGGTGGGAAGGGATAACATGGTTAAGGCCTTTCCCACTTTTGCATCTCCTCTCCCATCCCCATTACATGAGGTAACACTATTCTCATCCCAGGGTATACAAGAAAGAAATGGCGTAAGGATTGGTATAGTCAAGAGAGAGTGAGGGAAGGTGCTGAGGGCAAGCAGCTCTGCAGATAAGGGTAGACCTGTGACTAAAAGAGAGGTCTTCCTTTGGAACTCCAAGTACACAGTTCCTACCCCTGCTTACCTCACTGCTGAGAGCTGTGAATTTGCACAGAGAGATGATGAGATTGTCAAACACATCGCTGAGGCCGTAGTGGGCAGAGATCATGGCGCACTTCCTGTAACGTCACCCCCATCCCAGAAACAGAGTCACTGAAAGGCCAGGCAGCCCTTCCAAGTCCCTGAGGAGGCTTGCATGGGGCTCTTCCCCATTAGTCCCAGGAAGAAACCTTTTACTTTTGAGACTGTTTAAGACTGAGCTTTCCCAAGCTTTAGCCTCCCTCCAAAAACTCAGAGGAACCTCATTCTAAGGAAAGTAAGAATAAGAGTCAGAGAACATGAAGGCAACCATGTTAGTTCAGAGAGGTGGGGGGAGGTGAAGACCAAGGCCAAAACTGGGCTACCTGAAGCCTGAGATGGCTTTCTGGATGATTGTCTCCTCAAGGCTTTTGTCAAAGACATAAGACAGAGCAGCAATAGTGGGGCCCCAGGTCATGGTGAAGAGGTCAAGATCATAACTGCCAGTAGGCACACGCAGGAATATGCCCTCAGGGGTTGCACCTCGATGAAGTAACACATTCCACACATAGTTCTCCCGAACCAAGCCTGTCTGCTCCTCTGGCATCACAATTTCCTCATTCCTGTCAGGAGGTAAGGGAAGAGGTGGGTGTTCTGCTGTGAACTTCACTGGTTCCAAACTAGGACCGGGGCTTCACCTAGACTAGCACTTTCCATTGATAAGAGGTTGTCAGAACTGCAGCTCAGTGGTCTGTTTCCCACCCACAAGTGGGAGCAGGGAGAAAGGAAGTGTCCCATAATCTCAAAGACCTGTCTATAAAGGGGGGCCTTTAGTTCTTCAGTAAGGAGACCTCAAGTTCTTTCTGGGTGTGAGAAGATCAACAATTTTTTCTACTTTTTCTGATTTACAGTAAAGAAATAAGTGTCCCATCTCTGACCTGTGTCCAAAGCCTCTCTTTCCAGTGTTCATCTTATGTTTTCTACTAGCCAGAGAACGCCTCTTATGAGCTAGCCAGTAAAACCCAGCAACTTCAGGTTTAGAAAATGGAGGCCATGATATCCCACTTAACAAGGGAAATTTGGACCTTGGCTTAGAGTACTAGAGTCTCAATATTGTTCAGACTTCTTTAAGGAAGAAATGAGTTGGCAGAGAAGCCCCTGCCCAACTAAGTCCCAAGGCTAAATCCAGGGCATGTGAGTCACTACAGTCTGATATGACTCTAAAAACTGGGAAAAGAAGCCATGTGCTTCTTCTTAATAGAGATGTTGCCCTGTTCTCCAAATATACTCACTTGATGGCATGGTACATGTCTTCCAGGATGTCTTGCTCAAAGTCCTTGCCTCCATTCACACCTTTTAGGTTTTTTCGAAACTCCTAGAGATAGGCCAATAAGCTTTTCCCCCTGTGTCAATGCTGAAGCCCCTCCCAAGGAACTCCTGGATCTGTGGTAAATAGGACTTAGGACACTAAGTGAAAGAACCCACCTTCCCACCCCAGTTCCTCTTCTGGGTTGGCCAGCCCTCCCTGTCCACCATGCCCACTGGAAATCTTGTCCTTTTTGCTATCTACAAAGCTGGGCTGGATCTCATCTGCCTTGGCTGGGACCCAAGCTTACCTCCAGGGTCATGGGTGCATTCTGTTTGCGAACATTGTGGTTGTGCTGATCAGTATTAAGCATGATGACAGCATAGGCCAGAGCAAAGCAGGCATCACTATTGGCAAATGGGGAGCCATTACAATTCTGAAAAAGCAAAGACCCCACCTGTGTCAATGTCCTTCTCTGGTTAATTAAACCCTAACTACCAACCCTCAGGTCAGTGCTGGTACAGAGGGAGGTACCACCTAGAAAGTGGCTAACCTCTTGCCAACTCCTTAACAGATGCTGGTTTCTCCATGGAAAGCTCATTGATGTCGCTCTCAGCCTTCTAAGGAGATAGCAGCCGGGTTCTTTAGTTGGAGACCATAGAAGCCCTCAGTCAAACTGGCCTGGGATTCTGGGCTCACCTTCTGCTACTCAAACTCACCCTCCAATGCTCTGTGAATGCCTCCAGCAACCTCTGTATGACTGGTGCTTCCCCAGGCAAACGGAAGGCTTCCAAGTAGAGGCGGAGAGCTTCATCCAGCCGCAGACCCTGAAAACTGAAGGTGCTATAGGGAAAGAAAGAAAAGTATAGAAGCTGGAGAGTATAAGCTGCATATGTTGGGCTCTCTGTTAGTCACAGTTCTCTTACTGGCAGAGGAGGTTGAGGTCTCTGGCAAGGGGTGGTATGTCCTAACACAATCCCTAACTTTAGTATTTTTCAAATCTGCAGACTCTTGCCGAGAAACCTCACCCCCTAGGACCCTGCTCTACCCTTTGCAATGCTCTCCGTGCAGAATGAAAGGGCTCCCACAGCTATCTTGCTGGAGCCCCTTTCAGTTTCAACAGAAATAAATGATGGAAAGAGGAAGAGTGTGTGACTTGGGTCACCAGCGGGAACTGAATAAGACTGCTTTGAGGGAGGGATGCCCTGTCTCCCTTGACTGATCACTATGTCCCATATTTCTCACGGTTTCCTCACCTTACAAAGCTCTCCAACAGGTCAATGTTTTTGCGGTCACTCACAAACTCTCCAATCATTTTCTTGTCCAGCCGAGGATTCTCTCGGAGCCACTGGGCTACCTCTGTGTTGTCCATTGGGATGGTGAGGAGGCCTTTCTCTTGCAGAAACTGGATTCCCTTCTTTGGTTTCTGGTTGAACTGCTCTGTGCCAGTGATTAGCAGCTGAAGGAGAAGGACTAGTGGTGTCAGAAGTTGCTCTGCCCCAAATAAGACAAAGGCAAGCTGGACTCTACCATAGTCCAAAGCTGATCACCTAATGGGTTCCTAGGATATGGTTCTTAGTGACTCCAGAACTAAGGGTGGATCATACCAGCCTTAGCTTCTTCCCCCATCTTCCTGCCTAATTAGAACTGGCTTAGGAGCTCCTTTTCACTCCTTTTCTGAGGCTTCAAGATGCATAGAACAGCTTCCTTTCCTCCAACTTGAGGATCAGGGTAGAAGAAAGAGACCAGAGAATTCTCTAAGTTTTATATCCATCCCTGATGCTTGTTACCAGCCAGCATCTTGTTTATAGCCTGGCTTGGATTCCCGTTATTTATATGGTTGCCTAGCTCTTAAGGCTCTGAGTTTGAAGGACAAGGCAGACTAATTGTGAAGGTAATTCAACTTTCTGTGTGTCTAGCCACAACTCTGCAGTCAAGGGCACACATGAAGGTTGCTGGGAGCTAGGCTGACGCCATGGCACTCACTCTAGCCTGGGCAACAAAGCAAGACTCTGTCTCAAAAAAAAAAAAAAAAAAAGGGCACACATGAACCAAAGTCATTTAAGCTGGTTATAAGAGGAAGAAAGGGTTAAATATAAGGTTTTCTTTATGTTAAGGAACCCAAAGCACAACAGTTATTCGAACTTTACTAAAGCACCAGAATAAATGTTAATTCCTTTTTATTACCAATCATCATGCTAGAGCTGACCAATAACCTTCAGTAACCCACATGACACCAGTTCCCAGGACTCCTGTCACTGGTACCGTAACACTTGGCTCTCAACTAGTATAGCATTTGCCTAGGCACATACAATAGGGTTGCCCAATTACATGGCTTAGCAGTAAGGGAAGGGCTTCACAGGAGACTGGGGGGTTGCTGAAGTCCCAGTAAGCCTAACTAGCCTTAGGAAGCTGTACAATTAAGCTGCTAGACTCTCCCTCATCTTCATCCTCTGGGATAGAAAATCTACAGAGGATACCCAGACAGGTGGGCAGAGGCTGAGCTCTGGGGAATATATGTATTACCTTCTTTTTGTTCTTAATTTCAATTAGTTCCCGTGGATCTGGCAGGAGACAAGAAAATCGAGGTGGTTTCCGGGTAAACTTTTTGTCAGCTAGGAATGGGAGGAAGAGAGAGAAAAGCCCGTAAGACCTCTTTTACCAAGATAATGACTTTTGAAGGTTGCTGATATAATCCCAGTGAAAAACGAGAGGCCTCAGAAATTTTCTTGTCCTTATCAGTTTTCCATTTCCCTGCAAGTCCTATCTTCTGGAGCTCCAGATGTTTTCTTCCCTTTCTCTGGGTTTGAAGGCATGGCAAGCCACCAAGCCTCACTCAGGCACTGCCGCAGGTACTCTGCTCCCTTTCTTCCATTCCCTACCAGGCCCTCCAGTTGAGGAGGCTTAGGACTGTGGAACCCAGTACCCACCCCCAGAGTCACCAGCTTCTTCCAGATCATTGCATCCTGGCTTCCCATGTTCTGGCAGCAGCCGTCCTCCACCTGGCAGATGCAGGCCTGGGATGTCTGGGGCTATGCCTATAGCTTTCCCATCGCTGGTTGCTCTCTCAGCTGGTAAGAGACAAAAGACACATGAAGACTTATATGGTAAGAAGCCAAGCAAAGCTGCAGGATAGGTCAAGTCTCAAGCCAAGAAAGATTTGCATGCTCCCACACAGGGTGCCAGCTCTGACCAGGACAAACCCAAGCAAGTGGTCACTATCCCAGCCAAGTGTTAGATTCTATAATTTAATGAAGAGATTACCCAGTCACTTTTCCTGAACTTCTACAACTTCAGTCTCAAGGAGGAGATAGAGAAGATTAGCATAGAGGCAAATATCAGGGATAGGAAAAGGTAGGGCCTGAAGCTTTTAGGGACATAAGTCCTATACATCCTTTAATCTCTGTCCTTTCTCTTGCCATAAAGAAATGATATTTCTGTCAAAAAACCAAAGTGGGGAGGAAAGGGTCTATGAATCCTGCTAACCTGCCTGACTGCCCTGTGATTCAAATGACCAAACCCCAGAAACAGAATTGGGAGCATCCCAGGGGAAGTGATGTGAGGACAGGAGAAAGGACTCAGTGAGTAGAGAAGAGATAAGCATAGAACCCTGGGGTCTTCAAAGAAAGAAATGTCTCTCACTATTGCTAGCTTCTCGGGTGCCATCTACTGTCTCATAGCTGGATCTGGCTGTGTCTTTCTTCTCCTGCTGGTTCAGGTTGTTGAGGACTTTGGCCTGGCAGTGGGCCTCAGTGCTGTCAATCACTGTCAATAGGGCATCAAGAGATAGTAGATGTGTTGTATAGAGCTGACCAGACACAGGGAAGGCATTCTGGAAATTAAACAGATTCATTAGACTGGAGGTTAGGAGAATACTTTATACTTCAACTGATCATTTTCCAAAAATCCCTAGCTGGGCTAGTTCACGTCTATAATCCCAGCACTTTGGGAGGCAGAGGCAGGAGGATTGCTTGAGGCCAAGAATTTTAGACCAGCCTGGGCAACAGAGTGAGAGACCCGTGTCTCTACAAAAAATAAAAAAATTAGCCAGTTGTGGTGGTGTGTGCCTGTAGTCCTAGCTACTTGGAGGCCTGAGGTGTGGTGATCACTTTAGCCTAGAGACCAGGAGATCAAGGCTGCAGTGAGCTATGATTGTGCCACTGCACTCCAGCCTGGGTGACAAAGCAAGACCCTGTCTCAAAACAACAACAAAAACCCCAAAATCAAAAATCCTGAAACCTCTACAACTGCTACATTGCCTTTAGAAAATGCTTTTTGTCTTCCTGTTTCCCAACTCTTAAGTGTTTCCCCCTCCTTGTATGTACTATCCTCATTACCACCAGGGAGATTTCCTTTATGGAACCTTCTTTCTAGAGACCAGTAATAGTGCTCAGCACCTTGGACAGCAGCTTGGTGAGGTCCTCAAAGAGGTTGGAACAGTAGTAGTCACAATCATAGTTGATGTAGAGCTCGGTGACAAAGCTGGGGATGCGCCAGAGCTGCACAATAGCTTCCAGTGCCATCTCCTTCATCTCGTAAGGCATCTTGGGGTTCTCCACAGTGATGATCTCCATGAGCTTTTTGATGTACATCTGGCAATAACCCAGTAATTGCCATTTGGGTAGGGAAAGGATTCAAGATAGGAAGAGATAAAACTGGACAGGACCAATATCGAACAGGAAGCAGATGCCCAGCCAAGAAGTATGCATTAAGAGATGCCTAAAGGTATTCCATCCCCTAAGTACATCCTCCTCTTTGGCCTCTACGTTGGCAGATAAAGCCTGGCTCTCTACTTCATGTCCGATCTTAAATAAGTTGCCTGTTTTGTAATCTCTATGTGAGCATGAACTGGTCCTATTCACAGTTCATCTTTGCAATTTAGTGGCAATGCTGGCTTGACTTGCCTGCCTGTGTTGCAGAGGAACTGCTGGGTAGAAGAGTTGTTCCTACTCATGGTAAGATTACCTGCCAGTCCTCATAATTGGGTTCTCCTACTTTATAGTCAGCCAGTTTCTTCTGGTCTCCTTTGAACTTTTTCCCTAAAGAGGCCAGTTGATGAACCAAATTATGGAGGCTAAAAGCACTCCCTTATAGGAAGCCCCTAAATCCCACCCCTGCAGTATGACAGAGCTAGCCTCACTGAAGATGCCATATACCTCCCTTTTTTTTTTTTAACCTTTTTCTTCCAAGGTCAAGAAACTCACCTCCATTTGGAACTTGAGGTGCTCCCGCATGCTCTCAAATAATAGGAAGCATACTCGCAGAGAAGCAGCATAAAGATTCAGTCGCTCCACATTCAGGAGCTAGAGATCAGAGTAGGGTAGGCTATGAGATTTCAGAAGCCTACTATGGGTCAATCAAGAAAGAGGCAGGGAGGCAAACTGGGTGAAGTTGCCACTGAGGTCCTTTGCTCCAAGTAAACTCTGTATCTAGCCATTCCTATATTTCTCTCTGGCTGTCAAGAGTCCCTAGAGAACTACTGGAACCCTCTTGCTACGACTACTAGCCAAACTGGGAGGCAGATGCTTTCCTGGGTCCTATAGTCTTTGTACAATTGGCCAAACCTCCCTGTGCTTCCCTGGCCCTTGAGGCCCTGAGCCCCTCTAGCACTGCAGTCTTACCTGGAATAAATGGCGACACATCTCATCCTTGATGAGGCCCAAGAGGGTCTGGCACTGGGACACAGGGGCTGATTCAAGGGCCACTGTCAGCAAATGCAGCCCCATGTGGATCATAACCTCTGAGTTGTGGCGGTCATGTGGATTGGTAAGGGAGATGAGGAAGCGGAAGAGCTCTCGGATGCAGGGAAGACCATACGGGACCAAAGCTGTGCCTAGGGAAGGCCGAGAGGAGAGTGGGACTGCTAAGAAACAACTAGCCTATTGGCTTGGCCTAGCTTGCCCTGCATTACACAAGGAAATTTCAGGTAACTGATTCTCTTCAAGGAAAAGGATTTTTTTTCCTGGGGAGATGGGGGGACTAGCCTCACTTAGAGGGAATCAGAATCGATGATCCTACCTTTCTGTTAAAAGTCCTAAGCTTTGTATTCTTCCCTCTTACTTCCCATTGCCCATAAAACTCCCTCTTTGTAGTACATGGTAGGGAAAGGCTCCATCCATGCCAAGAGTCCTATGGCTTGATTCCATTTTCTAACTAGAAAATGGCCTAGAACTTGGAACAGCAGGTAGTCACCTTGGTCCAAGATGGTCTAGGCTAAGGCAGTTTAGTGGGTAGGATGGAGGAGGTGAGCAGGCATAGCCTGCCAAACGGTACTCACCTTCTTTCTGGGAAGATTGTGTAAAGCGCACACCCCGAGGATTGACGTAGTCCATGTCATGGACAGAGGCAGAATCAGAGTGGTCGGCAGGGGACGTGCATTCCTCTAATACTTCAGGGATAGATTCCACGGATGCTGACTGGGCCTTTTCCACATGGGCCCCTTCCTGATGTGATCAGTAGCAGGGAGATATAGGAAGAGAGATGAAGCAACTTGGAACTTACTCACCTGAAGTACCTGTCCCTCCAAGGCTGTCTCTGATGGGCTACAGATATAGGGCCAGGCCAGCTCACTGGTTTCTGAATCAATGCAAGATGGCTCCAGGCAGGAGTATGAAGGACTCAGAAAACATCTCTTGAGGTATCACTGACCTACAGTGACTAGAACCCTAGAGATGCAGAGGCTCAAACATGCTTAGGATTTAGATCATTACCTTCTATGAAAAGCCATGGCAAGCTCCCTCCCTTTTGCCAAGTACTTCCTATATGCATAATTTGATAAATCCCATGAGCAACCTCTCACAGTGAGTTATACTGTGGTTTTTCTAGGCAGCATTGCTAATTCTGGGAAACAGGAAAGAACCTCTCTTCCCTAACCTTCTTTTTTGAGACAGAGTCTCGCTTTGTTGCCCAGGCTAGCGTGAGTGCCGTGGCATTAGCCTAGCTCATAGCAACCTCAAACACCTGGGCTCAAGCAATCCTCCTGCCTCAGCCTCCCGAGTAGCTGGGACTACAGGCATGTGCCACCATGCCCAGCTAATTTTTTCTACATATATTAGTTGGCCCATTAATTTCTTTCTATTTATAGTAGAGATGGAGTCTCACTCTTGCTCAGGCTGGTTTTGAACTCCTGACCTCGAGCAATCCGCCCGCCTCGGCCTCCCAGAGAACTAGGATTACAGGTGTGAGCCACCACGCCCGGCCTCTAACCTTCTTTTAAGCCAAGGCTTGAATGAAGGATCTAAAGGATCAAGCCTATTCCCCCAAAGTGGAAGAGTGAACAGAGACCTTTAAAAATCAAAGCCAAGCAAATCTTTTTCTAAAACTTGGGCTAAAAAGAGGGGAAAAAAATTAATAAATTAAAAAAAAAAAAATCGAAGCCATACCTGGGGGTCAGGCTGTTCGGGAACCCCTAGCTCACTGCTCCCAGGCTCTGTGGCTGTGCTGTACCCTGCAGAGCCAAGTTGCTCTAGGTCAGTGAGATCTTCCTTAGAGGTAGTCTGGGAGGAGAATTCCAGGCCACTGTCTGTAGAGGGGCTGACCACTGCTGACGTAGCTTCTGAACTTGTAGAGGAGATAGGAGTGGGCACATCAATGAAGGGCATGCCACCTGCAAAGAAAAGTAAGTGAACCTTGAAAAAGAGAGATTTTGTGGGCAAAACATACCCTCCATGATTACCAGGGGCTCTGTTTCCCAGATTGCACATTCATCTCTGCATATACTGGTCTCTACAGTCATCAGAGTCCCTCTGAAAGGAGAACAACCTTAAGTCACTCCAGAGTTGCTGAATGGTTAAAGTCTGATTTGACCTGGAATTTCCCTTTTTGCTCTCAGCAGAAAGACCAAAAGCCCCTCAGTTGGTTGGTCTTCCATTTCAAAAGCCCTGAGAGAGAAAGCTCTTCCATCTACACTCATCAGAGGAAGCAGCCCAGAGTACTCACCAGCGAGGTTAGAGGATGAGGTGGTTCCATTGGGAGTGGGCAGCTCTGAACCTGTTGTGACTTTGGTCATATGGCGTGGAGGCCGAGGGGATCGCTTCTGTTTCTTCCACTTGGATGAATCACTCATGCCTCCTGCTCTCATTTTCAGCTGGAAATATCATACCTTATTAGTGCTGATATTCAACTAAGACTCGATCCCTAGAAATCTCCCTTTACTTAGTCCTTCTGGTCTCTAGAAAACAATCTGTACCCCACATCTGTGCTAAAGAAAGAATCTAGACAATCAGATCACATTCCTACTTCTCTAACCTGGCTTCTACATTTGCCACTTTATAGGTTGGCATGGTAGCCCCCAAGTGGAAGGCACCATTCTGCCTCTGCGCTGGTCATTGGTGGGTAGGGTCAGTCCTCACACTTATCACTCTGCTTCCCTGGGTCCTAAGTGTTACATTAAGCAGGGAATCCTGAGTCCTGTAGATGATGTAAGACCCTCTTGCAGAAAGGGTAAGGGCAGGGGCACCTTTGTCTGGAGTACCAGATCTACAGGCCCATGACTCCTGGGCTTTCCTCCTCAACTACGCTGTAGAGCAGGCTTCTACTTCTAGTTCTTATCCAACTACGAAAGCCTACTCCTTCGCATCCAGACTCTTAGCTTTCTTACTGCTGTGTGGACTGGGTCTAGACCGTAAACATATCCCTTATTCTCTGGAATTACTGCCTCAAATTGGCCAAAGGTTCATTCCTTGGAGTTATAGAAGGAGTGGCATCCTAGTTTATTTGGGAGTTAAGGATTGAGGGTCATGTCAGGCTGCTGCTCTGCTCTCTGCTGCTCCCAATTTTGTTGTATCAATGGGACCTCCTGTCCTTTTCACTGTTGGTCTTTCTAAATGCAATTTTATGTTGTCATATGGTGAGGTTACTATTGATTCCTTAGAACCCCTGCTCTATTCTATTCTCCTCTCTCTTGCTGTGTTTCTATTCCTCCTATAGCTTCCTTTTAGTCACAAAGGACAATCTCTTTCACCTGTTGACTACTCTAGGATCTATGTTTTTTATGTATTTCCTCCACCTTAAATTCACAGTTACTTTGTTTAGGCCCATTTTGTTTTCTTAGCCCTGATGGTTTCTCAGTTGGAGTTTTAACCTAGTCACTCTACAGAGTTATACTAAACTATTCCTAGACTAATAGACCATTTCCTGGATTGGGAAACAGCAACTCTCTTCCAGGAACCATGAGAATGACTCTAAAAAGAGTAGAAATACTTTTCCTCCCTGCCTCCTCCTAAAGGCTGAATATATCCAGACTATCCTTTGCCTGTTCAATTCCTTCTCATATCTGGGGATAAAACTCCTTCCTCAAGCTCTCCCAAGCACTCAGAGCCTGGGTAACTTTTGATCCTTTGCTTAGAAAAGGGATAATTCTTCTATCCCTACCCACAGCTCCTTCCAATAAAGGAAAAGCCCAACAGCTGAGAGCCCTATTTCTAGCTCTTAATAATATAGCAACTACCTGACATTGGATTTACGCTTCTTGTCACTCCATCTCTAAAATGCCTGCAGTCATTTGTCTAAAATTGAGCTTCAAGTGTTCTGAACAGTGTGGCTAACCAGGAACCAGAAGGAGCTCTCTCCAGAAACCACTGGAACTCAGCTGGATCAACTGCATGGTAAAAAAACGTTCTGGGAAGAATCAGCCAAACATGCAGAAGGGTAAGAAGCCCAAGAGATCAATGAAGGACCTCCTGGCCTTATTAGCAGTCGTCACTGAGCTCCAAAGTACTAACAACTGGATCCACTTTTATGAGACAGCCTTTCTCTCCAGGAGGCTCCCCCATGTCAGGGACTCCAGACAGAGAACCCAGTCAGTCACTGAGATTTCTTCCCATACTAGGATCTTTCCTGTTTCTTTTCTATTCTCTTCAAAACTTGCTCCAACCTGGTCATTTCAATGAGTATTCTCTGCCTCCTGGCTGGAGTAGGGGCCACAAGGCTGGTAGTTCTCACAAATGCCTCAGCTCTTAAAAAGTATAGTTATGCTCCCTGTCCTAAGGTCCTAAGCTGTGGGGTGGCCAGTAGGTGTTCATGGAACCCTACATCACCTCATCTATACAACTTTGTATTCTAAAGGACAGCATAAGCTTTCCAAAATAGAGAACAGATTCTAGGTTAATAATCATGGCAACATGCTGGATAGCCACTGAAGAGAGCTGTAACTTGAGACTATGTAAACACACAAATGAAACTTGAGACAATGCATTCAAAGAGAACACAGGCCTATGCACTATATCTAGCTAGGTGTACACACAGTTATTTTTATTTTCAATGATCTATACGTCCACAATCATACCTCTAGCATGCACACTCTTGTGACAGCCTAGAGATAGCCCACACTCTTCTCTCCCTCTTCTTCTTAAAGTGGAATATGGGGATTAGGATAATCTTTGGCTTGGATCCCTTCCCTAAGCTCCTCCACGTGTTGACTTTTAAAGGACAAAGGGGATCTTTGCAAAGTATTCCCAGTGTTCTGGGCTATCCTGGCACCTGGCTTCTTCCTATCAATATAGTTCTAAACCTTGGAATGACCCCTTTAATGGTAACCAAGGGAAAAAAAAAGACCTTAACTAGATTGACTGCCTTTTCTCTCTAAACTCAATCCAGGTATCCAGATAGAGTTGAGGACTATGATTAAGCTCTCTCTCTCTCTCTTTTTTTTTTTTTTGAGACAGAGTCTCACTTTGTTGCCCAGGCTAGAGTGAGTGTCGTCGCATCAGCCTAGCTCACAGCAACCTCAAACTCCTGGTCTCAAGCAATCCTACTGCCTCAGCCTCCCAAGTAGCTGGGACTACAGGCATGCGCCAACATGCCTGGCTAATTTTTTGTATATATATTTTTAGTTGGTCAATTAATTTCTATTTATAGTAGAGATGGGTCTCGCTCTTGCTCAGGTTGGTTTCGAACTCCTGACCTTGAGCAATCCACCCGCCTCGGCCTCCCAGAGAGCTAGGATTACAGGCGTGAGCCACCACGTGCGGACTATGCTTAAGCTCTCTATACCAGCTCTGAGCCAGGGAGAGGGTAGAAGAGGGATGGGTCTTGCTTGAAGGTTTCTTATAGTTTCCCTAGAAATGGTAGATGATCTTAAGCCTCTCCACAAGGTGACAGCAAGACCAGGCTCTCTAGGCTCACTATGTGATATTCAAGTCTTCTCCTGTCTCCAGGCAATCAGATGCCCCAGGAGAATTCTCAACACTGCAAAGCTATAATCACGTGCAACTCTTCCAAAGCCGTGCTGTTACTAGGGAGAGGTAAGTTGTACACAATGGAAAGGGGACCCAGGTATTACATATAAAAAAATGAGCATTTAAAGAAATAAATAAAAAGGGGGAAAGGAGAGGGAGAGGGAGAGAGACCTTGAGGTTCTTAAAGAGTAGTACCCTCTCTAACTGGTTCAGGGCTTTGGTCTGCTCCCCACTACTTAGCTCCAGTTTGTTGAGGAGACATGGAGAAATCTGTGAAAGGCAAATGCACGATTTAAACAGAGTGAAATAAACTCAGACATACGCCAACAGGGCACAGGGCAGGAATGGGGATGGATGGCAGAGGAGAGGGGAAGGTCAGATGCATGCACCAAAAAGCCAAGGGTCATCTCCATGAGCAGAACCTCTTAGGGCTGCAAGCAGAATCCTCATCAGTGGCCTGAGAAGTCCAGGGCTTCAATTCAAGATAGAAAGAAGCCACTCTTCTGACCACCACTCTTCTCCTAGCAGATTAAGAACCCTTTGGTCTGGAGTCAGGCTTGATCTATCTCTTCAGTAGCATGAGCCCAGTCTAATCCAGCACTAGGGTAGGATTTAGGGCACAGCCTCTATCAACCTCCTACCTGCTGACAAGGCTGAGCCCTGATGGGATGGCAGGACTTTCATCTTTGTCAATATATATATATATTTATTTATTTTGGCATATTATGGGGGTACAGATTTTAAAGTTTCAATAAATGCCCTCCCCCCCAAGCCTGAGTTTCCAGCATGACCATCTCCCAGATGGTGCGCATCTCACTAATTATGTATGTATATACCCACCCCCCTCCCCCCTGCCCTATACCCTATTACTGTAGTACCTATGTGTCCACTTAGGTGCTACTCAGTTAATACCAGTTTGCTGGTGAGTATATGTGGGGCTTGTTTTTCCATTGGGGATACTTCCCATACTATTCCATTCTTGGGATACTTCACTTAGTAGTATGGGTTCCAGCTCTAACCAGGAAAATATAAGATGTGCTATATCACCATTGTTTCTTAGAGCTGATGTCAACATATATTTTTAGCCCAGAATGATGGGCCTCACTGAGTTTCCATAAAGAACTGGCTCACCAGCTTATGTGGTGGTTCAAAGAAAGATAGGCCAGAAAGGAAAGTTGGGGAAGGACAGGTATCTGGGAGAGAATAAATCTCTCTAAAGGAGTGAGAGCCACTTCTAGATTCCAAGCAGACCTGTCTAGGCAAAAGCATGTCTGTGCTAAGCAGAGGTATCCCACAGTACTGAAACTGGGAGATTCAGGTCCGGATGAGGGACAGCAGGACAGCTCTCAGGTCATACCTTCTTCATGTTGGTCCCCACATAGTTCTTGGGTTCTTCTTTAAACTGAGGTAACCTATAAGATAGAGAATCCCATGGACTGTCATTAGGGATAATGACAAATGTCACCCTCATGCCAGCCACAGACCAAAGGTGCTGAGTCAGGGCATGGATGCCCTGTGTCTTAGGAAAAGCTGGGAAGAGAAGCAGACTAATTTCACCCCTCTCAGAGCTTCATCAAAGAGCCACAGGAATCAAGGGATGTATGACATGGACAAAAGAAGGTAGTCCTGAGGACAAAGTGACTAAGTACCCTTGGAGTGTGGAGGCTCTTTTCATCCTTAAACTGATTCCTTCCTGCTTGTGTTCACTTGGCAAGTACTGCTAAAAGCCAAGGGATAGGGAGAGGGCATCTATCAAAACCCTAGGAGACTGGCATAGGGCAAGAAGTAAAAGGCAGATTGAAATTTTGAAGCCAGCAAATTTGAGCCTGAGTAGCAAGAAACTCTTTGCAGCAGGGTCCAAGGGCAGTCTTATCTGTAGATAATAAAGATTATTATCTATAGATCTGAGAGCAAAAAGAAATCCCAGGGGGAAGTTTTAAGGCCACTGTTTCAGCTCTTCTCAAAGTGAATCTATTGAAAGGAGGTGTAGGAAACAGGCCGTTAAGCCTAGCATGAAAAGGCCTCCTAGACCCTAGGCCGAGGGCCTTACCTAGGGTAACCAACCATCTTGGTTTGCTTGGGACTGAGGTGGGTTTGCCAGGATATAGAACTTTCAGCACTAAAATGAGGGCAGTCCCAGCAAACTGGGATTGTTGGTCACCCTAGCCTTGGCCCTCTCCACAGAAATCAGACTGAGCTCTGGGAGCTCAGCAACCTGTTCCAGGGTCCCTTGAGTTTGGCTTCCTTTCTGGGTTTTCTTTCCCAGCTGCTACCTGCAGAGAAACAGACATAAGTTTGGGAAGCAGAATGAGGTCTGTCAGCCTAGATTAAATAACCCTCTGCCTCCTCCTGAGGCCAACTCAGCTCCCTCCTCCTTCTCCCTTGTTCGGTAACCCTGGGCCCAGAGAACTACCCCCATGCATAATCCCAGTGGCCTCTCATGTGGCTGTGGGGTTGGCCAGGTCCCTGACGTGGCTATGTGGAAGCAGGCAGACTCAAGAGGCCTGGACAGCCGGGCTGAAGCAAACAGCAGCAGGTTTACCTTGTGAAGAGCAGCTGCACCATGTCTACGAGAGTGTGCTCTGCGGATTTTCTCAATAACTCTGCACAGGCAAAAACAAATAACACAGGTGTCATTACTTGCCGTGCTATTATCAGGAGGCTTTTCAGAGCAGACTCCCCTCCAAACCTTGTTTACCAAGGATTATGCCAAACTTATTAAAACCAGCTCCAGCTCAGCCTGGCAGCCATAACTTCACTGGCCCACTAGGTGGCACTACCGAGTCAAGAAAAAACGGGGAGCAATAAATGTGTCTAGGAGTTGCAGGCTGGTGTCAATCCCAGAAAAACTCAAGGGAGGAGATCTGCTTGGGCTGAGTCAGTCTGGGATCCATCCCAACTCCTGCCCTGGCATAACGGGCTGAAGTCTTTAGCTTTGCAACAGTCATGTACAGAGGTATCTTCTAGACCCATATGGTTCCTTGAGTCTGATGAGAAGTCCTGAATTTTCCTTCTTTATGGGGTTCAGAGACAGCATCCTGTGTTCACACTCAGATAGTGGCCCCAGGAATGATGAAGAGGCCAACATTCAAGCACCTACCACTGAGCCTCATTTCAAAGCAGATCCGGAAGCAAGACTGCATAATCTCACACACGGATTCATTGGTTAGGTGGGCACCCACTGGGGTCAGCAACAGAGTCCGTAGGACCTACCAGGAAGAAAGAGGAGTTACTATGATAAACCAGGTAGGCTGGGTGAAGAGAGGCTTTCCGGAGGAGAGAAAAGCTGCCTAGTGGTTCCTCTAGTCTTTCAGAAAAGTATTCAGGGGTGAGAAAGAGAGGTTAGCAACAATGTTGACCTCACTTCAGTTTGGTAGGGAGGTCTCCCAGGAGCTTGTCTTGGAAACTGTTTCTTTACTTTGTATGACCCTGACATAGTTCAAAACTCATTCCATCCCTAACCCACGAGCCCAATAGGTGGATGGCACAGATACAGTCTGCCAGAGGTACAAGTGTATTAAGGGTTTCTGGTATTTGATATCAATTCATTTAAAGCTTTTAATTGTTTTCCTTAGAAAAAGCTTTCACTTTGGTTACCTGAGCTGCTTGTTTGGAAACAAAGTAGGCTCCTAAGCCCCAGTGGAGTCAAAACACAGCTTCATGCTGCCAGCACACTCGATAAGTAGAGCTGGATGCACCAGCCCCTGGCCATTAGCCTAATTGCTCTTCCCTTCCTGCTTACCTGAAGGATTTTCATCAGGACAACCTCATCACTGGCAGGATCCGTGCCTACAAAACGAGCATGGGTGACAGCATCTGCCATGTTCTCCATGCCCTCTGCTGTGCCATCATGAGTGGGATCTGCTCCAGTGAAAAAGGAAAAATTAAATGAAGAGGGAGAAAAAAAAAGACAGACTGTCTAGGGACCACTTTGAGAGAATTTGGTTTTTCTCCTCTCCAGTTCCCTAACTTGTGGATCCTTAATATGAGAATTTTTGCCCAAAACTGGCTTTCATGAGCTCCTTAACACAAGCTCCACTGGGTAAAAAAGTGGTTCTCAAACTTAAGCAAAATCACCTGGAATGCTTGTTAAAATACACATTGCTGGTTTCATACCCATAGTTTTTGATTTTGTAGGTCTAGAGTGGGGCCTGAGAATTTGTATTTCTAACAAGATCCCAAGTAAAGTTAACACTGCTGATCAGGGGACCATACTTTGGGAATCACTGGTGTAAAACTACTTGTTTCACAGAGGAAGGACTTGGAAAGATGAATTTTTGGCCCAGACCAAAAGCCATGTAGGACCAGAGCTTTGAATGCCACGGTTGTAGTTTTTCTCCTTTCATCTTTCAACACAGCTTTTCTCTCTGCTTGCTTTTAGAATTCTGTGTTCAGGAGCAACTGAGGTAGAGGAGCAGGAAGAAGAAATGGACAGTCACTGCCGCCAGTAATTATATCTGGGTACCAAGTTACAGCAGATCAGAGACCTCATTAGTTTCATTCTTATTTAAAACAATATGACAAAGAGCAAAAATCCTGTTTCCAGCTTAACTAAACATTAGGAGAGAAAAAGAGACAAACTAAACAGGACTGGAAGCTGGCTAGTTGGACAGTGGGGAGAGAAGGAGGATTTTAGCTGTGCAAAAGGAGGGGAGAAGCTAGAGGTCAGACAACCAGCACCATGTTGAAAATGAACACAGATGCTACCAAAGGGGGAACTCAGCTCCCATTCATGTGTTAAACAGCCATAAGGAGTGGCCAAAAAAGTTGTCACCATCAAGGCCTTATAATGCTCCTGCAGAACTGCCTGGCTCCTGTCCCAGGTCTGCTCTGAAGAACTCTTTCTATGCTATTTAGTCCTGAAAGGGGAGCATAAGTAGGGGCAAAGGGCAGGCATATTGTAAAGCTTTTCGAGTGACACAGAAAGTTATTCCGGAGGTGCACGGTATAATGCAGGAGCATCTCCTAGCTTTAAGTGGTAGGAGTTAGAAGACATATTTGCCATTTTTTCTTTCTTGGTATCTGAAATTATGGAATTTCTAAGCCTAAAGCTCAGGGGATGGCTGAGAAACTCGAGCATTTCTCTTGCAATGCTAAGCAAGATTTTCATTAATTATGAGTGTTTTCATCTTTCTATTCTGTCCTTTTTAGTCTCTGACACTTCATCAAAGACTTTCTTTGTCCTACTTACAGCATCCCTCTACTCAGGACCAGGAGTGGTTACTTTAGAGGACATGCAGAAGGAAGTCAGTTTTATGATATATAGTATAATGGGGTGACCCAGCTCCTCCTATCACCCCAACTCTCCATGTTTCTCCCAATTTGCACAGGAAATCCCATACTCTCAAGGCTCTTGCCCAAATCCTCTCTCACAGCCCTGCCTGACAGTCTTTATTCAGTCTACCAGAGCCCGCACAGGAAACTGTGGTCCTGCTCAGTGTTGTGTAGCATTTCAGAGCTCAGTGAATGGCAGCCTTGCTCCCATCTCACAAGGCTCCTGAGGGTCCATTTCTTCCCCTCTTTCACTAATCTCTCTTGTTAAAGTGGTTTAAGCTCTACTGATCTCTTTGTATTAATAGTTCTTATCCCTTGAGCTTGAGTGAATTAGCAAAGTTAATTTTCTAAAAAGGCAGGTAAGAGGGATAGGTCTTTAGAACCATAGGCAGGGCTTGCTGGCAAGCCATGTAATCAGTGGCACAAATCCTGGTCTGGCAGCTGTGTGGGACCAAACGAAAGGCCAGTCCTTGGAGTAGGACCTAAAATAATCCCTGAAGCCTTGGGTCATAGGATTGAGAAGTTGGGGGTGTTTTCTTCTAGAAAGAGCAGCCTAAACAAAGGATTGTTTGGCTTGGGCTCCCTTAGTAGATTTTTTCTTCCCCAAGACCCCTTCTTCAGAATGTCCTCCTTTTCTGGCCACTCTTGAGCCAACGTCAGGGAAATTTGCCAATCTCATCTCCTTTGCTTTCATGCACTCCTTCCTGCTCCTTTTCTCATGCCCACCACAATCACCACCTCCAGCATTCTCTTTTCCCACCACAGGAAACTCCAATGACCAGCTGGCCTGAAGTCTCCAATGACCAGCCTATCTGCCAAGTTCAGAAAGAGAAGAGAATATCACCCACAAAAGAGCAGAGGGAAAAGGCACAGGGGGCCGCTATTGCAGGCTGTGAAGAGAGATGACCTGCAGGTGGAGCTCAGGGCAAGGCTGGAAGTGGCTGGGCCTGATTTTGTTTAGGAAAACTATGAAGCTACAATTAGGGTGTTTGAAGAGGCTGATGCATCTATTCAGAAGCTAGCTGGCACCCAGGATTCCTGCTCAGGATCCTCAATGCTTAAGCTGAGCAAATCCAACTTTTCTTGAAAAGATAAAGGGTTTTCCTGCCCTGAAATGAAGGCTGTTTTCTCTTCTGGCTAGCTACAAGCCGAGCCTCTTCTTTTCTTGTCTCCCTACTTAGAAACAAAGACAGCTGCCTGTTTTTGATGTTCCTCATCCTTGCACATGGACTGGCAATTGGGGAAAAGGAATTTAGGATCCTGAGTGACAAGACCAACTAGAAAAGGAATCTAAAAAAAGACACCACAAATTCAGAGATAAACTATAGACTGGGTGAAATATTTGGCCTAAACTGGGAGGAAACGTGTGTAATATTATGATAGACAATGGGTTAATATTCCTACTACACAAAGAGCTCCTACAAATTGATATGAAAAACAAAAACAACTCAATAAAACAATAAGCTAAGGAGAGGAAATTCAAATGTTCAATCTCTAGGAAATAAAAACAACAAAATACCAGTTTTTACCCACCAAATTAGTACAAATAAAGAAAACTGATAATATTCAGTGCTGATGATAGGGTGGAGAAATGGAAACTCTCAAACATTGTTGATGGAAGTATAAATGCTGTAATCTTTTGGGAAAGCAACCTGGAAGTAGCTATAAAAATATAATATGCATGTGGCCTTTAATCCAAAAATTCCAAGTTCAGAAATCTTTCATACAAAAGTAAAATTAGTAAATAAGGACATATGAACAAGGATGCTTATTTTAGCATTATTTATAATAACTCCAAATATGAAACAATCTAAATGTTAAATATTAATAAGAGAATGACAAAATAAATTATTTATACTATACTATCGATACTATACTGCTACTAAAAAGGAAAAAAAAAATCATACAAAAGACTGAGGGGATGGCCGGGCGCTGTGGCTCACGCCTGTAATCCTAGCACTCTGGGAGGCCGAGGCGGGCAGATTGCTCGAGGTCAGGAGTTCGAAACCAGCCTGAGCAAGAGTGAGACCCCGTCTCTACTATAAAAATAGAAATCAATTAATTGGCCAACTAATATATATAGAAAAAATTAGCCGGGCATGGTGGTGCATGCCTGTAGTCCCAGCTACTCGGGAGGCTGAGGCAGAAAGATTACCTGAGCCCAGGAGTTTGAGATTGCTGTGAGCTAGGCTGACCCCACGGCACTCACTCTAGCCTGGGCAACAAAGCAAGATTCTGTTTAAAAAAAAAAAAAAATACTGAGGGGAGAGGGAAATGGGGAGTTACTGCTTAATGGTTAGAGTTTCTTTTTGGTGTAATGAAATAGATGGTGGTAATGGTTGCACAACACTATGAATGTAATTAATGCCACTGAATTGTACACTTAAATGATTAAAATAGCAAGTTTAATATTTTATGTATATATATATATATTTTTTTTTTCTTTTCTTTTTTTGTTTTTGCAATAGGGTCTCGCTCTGCTGCCCAGGCTAGAGGCCAGTGGTGTGATCATAGCTCACTGCAGCCTCAAACACCTCAGCTCAGATGATCCTTAGTCTCCCAAGTAGCTACACTACAGGCACACACCACCATGCTTAAAAAAACTTAAAAAAGGCCGGGCGCGGTGGCTCACGCCTGTAATCCTAGCTCTCTGGGAGGCCGAGGCGGGCGGATTGCTCGAGGTCAGGAGTTCGAAACCAGCCTGAGCAAGAGTGAGACCCCGTCTCTACTATAAATAGAAAGAAATTAATTGGCCAAATAATATATATAGAAAAAATTAGCTGGGCATGGTGGCGCATGCCTGTAGTCCCAGCCACTTGGGAGGCTGAGGCAGAAGGATTGCTTGAGCCCAGGAGTTTGAGGTTGCTGTGAGCTCTGACACCATGGCACTCACTCTAGCCTGGGCAACAAGCGAGACTCTGTCTCAAAAAAAAAAAAAAAAAAAAAGAAAAAAAAGAAGAGAGATGGCTAGAAAAATTTTCCCAGTATCACTAGCTCATTGTCTAAGGCCTGAGCACCCCACAAGAGTCAGGAAATGAAGTGCTGTGGTTATCCAACAAAGCTGAGATCTTACCTATGAGCGCATAGGACAGGAACTTGTTGACAGAGGTGAGTGCCAGTCCAGTGATAGGGCCAGTGGTATCTTCAGAGCGAATCACTTCCAGAAATGGCCGAAGGAATACATTGGGCTCAATTTCTGAGAGTTCTGCAAGAAAAGAAAACAGAAATGAAGAGATACCCTTTAATGAAAAGCTAAACCCTAGTAAGAGGCCCTTCTTGTTTGTGCGACAAAGCTAGAAGTCTTCATTGCTGGGTCAATCTTTTTCCCTCTAGAGTACCTAGAATCAAATCCCAGACACTATACCATTTATCTATAAAATTTTCAGTATGTAGCTCTAAAAGATTAGGAATCTTAAATAAAACAAAGCACAATATCATTATCATGCTTAAAAAGTTAATAAAATGATTAAAATGGTAAATTTTGGGCTGGTCCAAGTGCAGTGGTATTTACAACTGATTGATCACAACCAGTTACAGATTCCTTTGTTCCTTCTCCACTCCCACTGCTTCACTTGACTAGCCTAAGAAAAAAATAAAAATGGTAAATTTTGTTATGTATATTTTATCACAACTTTTAAAAATTTAACAATTCTTTAATATCATCAAATATTGTGAGTTAATTTTCCATGTCAATTTCACCCCCTTCCCCAGTGATATACAACACATAAACTTTATCTTGGGTATAGCCAATGTGACCCTTAGATCCCTGGATTGGCTCCTGTCTTTATGTCCTTTGCTGTTATTGTCAAGGTCACTTCTCTTAGAGAAAGAGTACAGCACATCCCAGGAGGATGAGAGGAAACCTGGAGGTTTATAGTTCCTTGCTGAAAAATAAGCCTAAAAAGAACAAAAGGCTGGGCAGTCTCTTGTCATGGAGGCAGTCTAATCTTGGAAGGTACTAACCACTTTCCAGCCTCTTTCCTGCCTACAGTAAGCAGAGTTTAACTACCCTGAGATGAAGGGGCAATTCATAATCTTTATTTACAAATTAAAAAAATAAGGCTCATCAGATAAGATACATGATTGGCACCAAATTATGCAACTAATCAGCAGAGCTGGGATTTGAAACCAGTCTATGTGGTTCCAAAACTTGTAAAATTAGATTCTGCTGTGCTTTCATCTTTCAGAGACCAGTTCCCTAAAAGGCTTCCTAAATAGGCCAGAAACAATTGGGGATGTAATCTAGGCTGCCCCACCTTTAGAGACAGAAGGAAGCAGGGTTTCCTAAGCACCTTCATTTTCATGCAAATGTAGGGAGCTGCCTACTCAATTCCTACTACACGCTCTCTGGGTAAATATTCCCGGACCGGCTGCTCCTCAGATTAATGCTTTAATTAATTGGCAGATTTGGTAGCATTTTCCAAGCCTGTCTGTACTGTGATCACATCAGCTCTAAAAAACCTGCTTCTTATCCCTTACTGTCCCAACCTAGAGAAGTACAACTTGCAGAAAAAATCTAGAGAAAAACCTGTGTGTGTCTTCTGTGTGTAGTGGTGGTAGAGGGCTGAGATGTAAGGAATATAAAGTGTTTGGAAAAACTGATATATATCATTATATAATATACTTTAAAACAGCATATTAGTCTTACTTTAGAAACACAAATGCACATAACACTTTGGTCTGTCATTTGAAAAAATGGTCATGATGGAAAAAAAATCTTCAGAGTTGGGACAGAAAACAGACCCTGTGTTTTCTCTGTTTTCATCCAGTTGCTACAACTATGCTTGCTTCATGTCTTTCTTTATGGCAAAAGACTTGGGCAGTTTTATAGCTAGGGTCCACACTTCCCAGGCCATGTGCTTTCAGCTTCTTTGTTTAATTGTAAATTTGGTAAAACTAATTTGTTTTCTTTAAATGACTGATTAATACAGTATGTTGTAATAACCTTTTGAGATTGACTTCTTTCATTCAACTTATGGCTCTGAGATTTGTCCAAGCTGTTTCATGTATCAATAGTTTGTTCCTTTTTACTGCTGAGTGGTATTCATTCACTGGTAGAAGGACATTTGGGTTCTCTAGTTTCAGTCAATTATAATAGAGCTGCTGTAAATATTTGTGTACTGGTTTTTGTGTGAACTTAGGTTTTCATTTCTCTAGGGGAAGTACCCAGGAGTGGGGTTTCTGAGTCAAAGGGTAAATGTGTGTTTAGCTTTACTGCCAAACTGTTTTCCAGAGTCACTGTACCACTCTGCATTCCCACCAGAAATGAGATTTCTAGTTTCTCCACATCCTCTCCAGTACTCGGTAGTTTCAATATTAGGTAGTGGTATCTCCGCCTGGTTTAAATGTGTATTTCTCTAATAACCAATGACACTGAACATCTTTTCATGTGCTCAATTGCCATCCATATATTCTTTTGGGTGACATGTCTGTTCAAGTCTTTTGTCTACTTTTTATTTTTTAGAGAGAGGGTTTTGCACTGTCACCCAGGTTGGAATGCAGTTGCGTGATCATAGTTCACTGTAACCTTGAATTCCCAGGCTCAAGATATCCTCCTGCCTCAGCCTCCCAAGTAGCTAGGACTACAGATCTGTGCCACTACATCTGGCTAAGTTTTTTTTTAAGAGATGGGGGTCTTGCTATGTTGCCCAGGCTGGTCTCGAACTCTTGGGCTCAAGTAATTCTCCTTTCTTGGTCTCCCAAAGTGCTAGGATTACAAGCATAAGCCATTGTGCCCAGGTCTTTTTGTCTACTTTTAAATTGAATTTTTTTTATTGTTGACTTTAGAGACTTCTTTATTCTGGATTCAAGTCTTTTACTGGTGATACAATTATTTACAAATATTTTCTCCCAGTCTTAAGCTTGTCTTTTCATTCTCTTAACAATATCTTTAATAGAGTAGACATTTTTACTCTGGATGCAGTCCAATTTATTAATACTTATTTTATGGATTGTGTTTTGGTATAATGTCCAAATTGACTCTGCTTAATCCCAGGTAAGAAAGACTTTTTCCTTGTGTTTCTTCTAAAAAGTTTACTACAGATTTATTTTTTTTCACTTATGATCTAATTTGAGTTAATTTTTATATAAGGGATGTGATTTAGATTGAGGCTCCTTTTTTTTTTTTACATAAGAATGTTCTATAGTCCCAACATGTCTCATTGAGTTATCTTCACATCTTTGTCAAAAATAAATTGACATATTTACATGAGTCTCTTCTGGATTCTCTATTCTGCTCCATTGATCTATATGTCTAACTCTCTGACAATACCACACTCTGTTGATTATTATAGCTATATTCTCAGTCTTAAAATCAGTAGTGTAATTCTTCCAACTTTATTTTTCTTTTCCATTATCATTCAATATTCCAGTTCCTTTGCCTTTCCATTTCAATTTAAGATAAATGTGTCTATATTTACAAATAATTTTGGAAGTTTTAAAGGAATTACATTGAGTCTATAGATCAGTTTAGGAAGACATGGCATCTTTCCTATGTTGTGCCTTCCAGTGTATGAACATAGTATATCTCTCCATTTATTTAGATCTTTTTGGTTTCTTGTATCACTGTATTATAGTTTTTAGCATACACGTTCTGTATATGTTTTGTTAGATTTATACCTAAGTATTTAATTTTATTTGGAGTATTGGTAAAAGGTATTGGTTGTTGTTATTTATTTATTTATTTACTTTGAGACAGAGTCTCCCTCTGTTGCCTGGGCTAGAGTGCCGTGGCATCAGCCTAGCTCATAGCAACCTCAAACTTCTGGGCTCAAGTGATCCTCCTGCCTCAGCTTCCCAATAGTTGGGATTACAGGCATGCACCACCACGCCTGGCTAATTTTTTCTATTTTTAGTAGAGGTGGGACCTCCCTTTTGCTTGCTGGTCTCAAACTCCTGGGCTCAAGGAAGATCCTCCTGGCTCGGCCTCCCACAGTGCTAGGATTATAGGCATGAGCCACTGTGCCTGGCCTTAAGTATTGAGTTTTAATTTCAGTTTCCATATGTTCATTGTTAGTATACAGAATGAGATTGATTTTTGTGTGTTCACCTTCTAGAATCCTGTGACCTTACTCAACTCACTTGTGTGTGTTTGTTGATTCATGTTATCTGCAAATATGGACAATTTTATTTCTTCGTTTCCAACTTATATGCTACTTATTTCCTTTTCTTATCTCATTGTACTGGCTAGGACTTCCATTACTATGAAAGTCGACATCTTGGCCGGGCGCGGTGGCTCACGCCTGTAATCCTAGCACTTTGGGAGGCCGAGGCGGGCGGATTGCTCAAGGTCAGGAGTTAGAAACCAGCCTGAGCGAGACCCTGTCTCTACCAAAAATAGAAATAAATTAATTGACCAACTAATATATATAATATAAAAATCAGCCAGGCATGGTGGCTCGTGCCTGTAGTCCCAGCCACTTGGGAGGCTGAGGCAGAAGGATCGCTTGAGCCCAGGAGTTTGAGGTTGCTGTGAGCTAGGCTGATGCCATGGCACTCATTCTAGCCTGGGACTTAAAAAAAACTTAAGACACAAAAATACGTAGCACATAATCCTATTTTTTAAAGATAGGATGGTATTTTATTTATATTTATATACTCACAGAAAAAGGTATAGAAAAAGTTAAACCAGGCTGTTAACACTATTTACCTAAGGAAAGGGGTGGAGCATTGGAAAGACACAAGAGAGACATTTAACCTTCCTTTTAGACACTCCTTTATAGTCTTTTTTTTTTTTTTTTTTTTTGAGACAGAGTCTTCCTCTGTTGCCTGGGCTAGAGTGCAGTGACATCATCATAGCTCATGGCAACCTCAAACTCCTGAGCTCAAGCAATCCTCCTGCCTTGGCCTCCTGAGTAGCTAGACCACAGGTGTACTCCACCATGCCCAGCTGATTTTTCTATTTTTTGTAGAGATGGGTTCTTGCTCTTGCTTAGGCTGGTCTCAAACTCCTAGCCTCAAGAGATCTTCCCACCTTGGCTTCCCAAAGTGCTAGGATTACAGGTGTGTCTTCTTATAATAAATATGCATTATAGTTGAAAAAATAACTTAAAAAATAAACCAAACCAAAACCCCAAGGGCACTATACTCTTAACTCCGTCCAATGCATAGAGAAACCAAAGTCCCAGGGAAACCTCCTCTCCCACCCTCCCCAACCTGCACAACCTCAGTCAACTAGAATGATGAGTAACCAATAACAATCCTATT